AGGAAGAGCTAGTTTGTGTTGAGAATATTTTGGCAAGAGGAAATAATAGAGATGTGAGAGTATTGAAGCCTTACAGCCTCAAAAGATCGGGTTTCATTTTATTCATGCAAGGCCAACTCATTTTAAACAATCTTAAAATGAGTAAAAACATTCTTAATACAAGTGTATTTACCATTAATTTGAGTGGCTAAATAAGACAATAAGATCTGACAATGAAAATGTTTAGCCTTAAGAAAAGATAATTAGATATTATGTACTTGAAATAAGAGACTGCAGTTTTTCTTAATTCAAATGTAAATAGTCTTATTCCATCGGCAAAATGTTTCACTTGTCTGCTCAATTCAAGAAAAAATTACTTAATTTAACAAAAAACACACTACATTTTTTTTTGCAGCGAATCCCAGATGTTCTCTAAATGCTCATTCAGCAACTTTTATAGACACATAATAAAAGTTGGATTTCTTTTAAACAGAATTGCTGTATGAAGAACTGTGGAAGAAGTTTGGAAAATGACCTCTGAAGAGCATTTTGTGAGCTGAAGTCTGAAGGGTAGTGGTCGTCTGTCCATATGGAATAAGCAAAAAACAAACAACAACAAAAATAAATAAATAAATAAGCCTATTCTTGACTTTATCTGATGTGGACGGTGATTCAATTCATGTTTCTAAGACCGTCTTTTACTTTGGTATCTATCTAACACTATATTTCTGTTTATTGCTCCTACAAAAGAAGTTCACTGATACGCTTAATCCTTTTGTTCATAATCATAGTAATCAATCAGAATAAACAAAAACCATGCTTCAGATTTAAGTATCCGATTAAATAACTAACTCAGTGTGAGAACATTATTAAAATTCTTAGATATTAAATCAGATAATTGGCGTTTCTAGGTCACATCAGGGGTAAAAAAAAAAAAAAAATAATAAAAATACTTCAAAAGCTGACTCAGCAGCTTCTGGCGATAAGAAAAAGCCTTGAAGTTTGATGCATGAGCTATTTTGTTGAAATTGTAAATCACTCGTTATTCTTGACACCATGACGTCAATCCAGTCAGATGACTCCCAGCAAAATAGTTTGACAAATGTTATTTCATTGGAGGAAATATTTCAATTTTTTTTAATCCACTAGGGGGCGCCAAATACAAACTTTTTTTTGTGCATTACATTTATCCCAGTTTTTGCTTGGTGACATTTTCAACAACATAACTTAATGATACACGTTGCTTATGGCATCTGTAGCAATATAATGTAAAGGAAAATAGCAAAGCAATTCTCTAATACTAAATTGTGTTTTTGAAAGTTATTGTTCCAAAACAGGCAAAGGTTGAAGAATAATACCAACAAGAAAGGGGATAAAAATGGCATTCAAAGCCACAGACCTATATTAGCATTTCCAAACTTGTGAAAAGTAACAGAATGAGAGTTTTATTCAAAAATAGTTAAATATTTAAATAAGCAAAGTATACTTGTATCTTCACCATTTTATAAAAAGCACAAGCAAAAGTATGGCCATTTTAGATCTTGTTGAAAAGAAAATAATGCAGTTATTTAAGGGGATCCTGGAATCTTAACCTTTTAAAGGTATTTAATGCAATAGATTTTTCAATTCCTCTATATATGGTTTGAGCCAGAGGCTTAGCTTTCCAGTGGAATATGTTCCAGAGAATATGTTTATGGAAGATGGCTGTATGGAATAATAAAGGGGTAAACTCTAGAAGGGCCTCCTAGTGTTCTATATTGGGGTCTCTTTTGTTTATTATTGATCTAAGTGATTTTACACTTTAATCCAATGATCCATACAAAACATGTTTTCAGAGGAAACAAAATGTATCGCATAAAGCCACGAATCATCTCATAAAACTCTTCAAGGAACAATTGGTTAAGGTAAATGATAGGTTAAAAATTAATCAATTATATTTGAATAATGGTTTATTTAATAGTGTTTTGCTTGGGTCAACATATGTGCAGTGATCAGGGCTGTGTTATATTTTGGAAAGGAATCATTTTCAATCCATAAAGTTAAACCCATAATGAATCCATAAATTGTTTAGGTATTCAGATAAACCATTTTTGCCAATTAAAAAACAATCATATAAATGAAGTATTTAAAAAAGCAATCACACATTGTTGTTTTTTTTAAAGGTCATACAATTTCTCATTGTTCAGATTACTGCTTGTTGCTTACCGGTATCTAAAATATTGAAACATAATATGAAATAATCCCTACTCTACCTACATGTTATAAATAAAGCCTTCAAAGCAAAATCACATGTGTTCAATTTCATATGTTGGTGCTGAGTTTATTCAACTCAATTAAATGAGCACTAGTTCCCCTAAAGAGTTGGTGTCAATCTGCTGAGTTAAAATCAAGTAGTTTTAGGTATTGATTTTAAAGTAAGCAATTATTTGACATGTTCTTCCATAATGCAAAAATATATGTGCACTCTGTTTTAAAACACCTGCGCTAACAGCAACATTTCTGGACTATACATTTGTGCCGTTGGATATAGAAGTTTTGTTCTGCGACTTGAGGGTTGCAGGTTTGAATCCAAGATTTAACTTGCATTGGTGTTCAAAGGGCCTGTGTATGGCAGCCTTGCTTTTGTCAGCGTGCCCCTGCGCAGCTTCAGCTGCAATGTATCAGACAGCATAGGGTTAATTATTGTTGTGATGCTGATGATAATCTGCAATATTTGTCCATAATTTCTGTGTTAACACTGGTGTGGAGTTAACTTACACTAAACACTAGCCTTAGATAAATTATACCCCAATAAGTGATGAATTACACCTATTTATACTGTAGTTCCAATTTTTTTCTTGGTGTTAAATGTTTAAAACTTTCAATTCAATTAAAATAAATTCAGTTCTTCAGGCTTGGCAGGAGGCAGAAGTCAAGGGGCAGAAACAGGGTCGTTGTCCAGAAGGCAGAGAAATCCAATGAGGGTTAGGCAAGAGGGAAAAGCCGTGAAACAAAAACCTGATAACATGAAGTGCTGGATACTGCTTGCTTGTTGGCTTGCAATTATCCGGCCCTGTCTGCCTGCCACATGCTGCCTTATGACTGCTTGTACTGCTGAGAGACATGCTGTTGATTGCACTGCAGTGCAGCAGGCAGCGGCTGGAGTTGATTGCTCACAGGGAGAGCAGAGCAGGCAGACAGACCAGAATCATGACAACAGTCAAATTGTTAAAAAGTTTTCTATCTAAGGAAAACCAGTTGATTGCATCGACTCATTGACTCTAAGGCAAGTCCTCCAACCAAGCATGCTTGTAGCGACAGTGGAGAGGAAAAAACTCCGTTTTAACAGGAGAACCAGACTCAGTGTGAGCGGCCATCTGCCCAGGCCGACTGGGGTTCAAGGAGACAGAATCAGTCATAGAGAAAGGAGCAGATAAACAAAAGGTAACTGTCAACCAGCTCCACAGGAAACACACAGCCAGGCAGACGAGCTCCAAGCCAGCTCCCATCTAAGAGGATGAAGAGAGCACATCCAGCCAGTCACAGTCAGAGAAACAGGACTACACTGAAAAACAGGTTGAGCTCAAACATCTATAAACAAAGGTGTTGATGGCAGCAGCACAGCTAATATTTATCTCCAGGATGGAGTCACAGCCAAAAATACCAGATGAAACTCCTGTGAGAAAAAGCAAGAGAGCATAACATTAGAGATTGAACTAACACATTCTGCAGTGGGAGAATAGAGATCGAATCCAGTGCTGGTCAATATAGATTAATTAATAAAACAACTCTCTAGAAGTTTAATTAACATTTACACATTTGCTGTGTTAAAAGCAATATCTCTGACCTTATTAGGAGGTTAAATGCTACATATAGTAAAGTTTTTTCATTGCATCTTGCAATTCTTTTTAATGTGAAAAAGAAAATGGAAATAGAAAAATGATCTTTCACTTTAAATGTTTAAAGAAAGGTATTTAATTCATGTATAGTCTGTATAATCTGTGCATGTAGCTCCCATATTCATATTTATATTTATACACAACTTTTTACAGTCCCTAACTATTACTTTTTGCTTGTATATACACCTGTAATACTGTTTATATCCTGTATAGCACTTCTGGATAGATGCAAACAACATTTCATTGCTTTGTACTCGTGACAGTGCAATGACAATAAAGTTTAATTCTATTATAATCAGAGTTATGAATTGTGTTTTTTAAATATATATTTATAAATGGGATTTTCATTTAATTTTTTTAATATTCCATTATTTAATACTGGATTTAAAAATACAATTTATGTCAAAAATGTGAAATTACAAAATGCTTTTCGAATTGGATTTCTAATTCTTTGAGTTAGATGTTTTATATGTTTGTTTTAGATGTTTGTTTTTCTTTTTGATTGACTCTCCTGGTCCTCCATACTCTCCTACTGTGTTCCATGGGACAGAAAAAATGTTTTCTTGTTTGTTTGCTTTAAACAGAGAGTTTGAAACCCTGCAGCCCACCCGTGCGGCTCCATGTCGCCCCTCCGTGGCGCTCTCTCTCCTCCGCGCAGACCCAGCAGTCCTGCTCCTTCCTCCCTCCTCCTCCTCTTCCTCCTGCTGATGCCATGGCTGCGGAGGCGGATCATGCGACCACCGGCCCCGCAGACTGCACGGAGATGCGGGAGCAGCTGGTAAGGATGCTTTCAGTTCAACAACACATTTTTTCTGTGTTGAACGTCGCGGCCTTTGATGCGCCGCTGCAGGGATGGAGTCCAGCCTGCAGGATGCACCAAACCTGCAGCAGGGACGCGTTGTTGTTTTAATACAAACTCGGGTGAAATGTTAAGATTGAAGGTTTTGCAGGGGGAGGACAGGAACGCAGGTGTGGGGGAGGATAGAGAGGGGTGGGTATCTGTAGCTCCCATCCAGCGTGACGCGCTGATGCGCCAGAGGAGAAGTGAAACTAGAGGCTCGGCTCTGTGATTCCCTCTCGCTTCTCGTCGCTTCAGAGACCGTTTTCTTCCACTCGGTAATGACGCAAGATCCTAACAACTTGGCACCAGAGGTAAACATTCTTCCTGATCACCCGAGCGGGGTAATGAGAGCAGATTTGTTAGGTTCATCTGAGTCAGCAGCAGACAGAGAGGAAGTGGGGTTCCCACAGATCAGAGATCCAGGTAGTGTTCCTTCAGCCTGACTTCTAATTGGAGGAAATAAAATCTGCATTTGGAGAAAACTTAAAAGTCACATGTTCATTTTTATTATTATTTCTAAATAGGTGGTGATTTTTGAAGAACATTTTTAATAATGAAGAAATAATGTTTGATATCCTAAATGCTTTTTTTTTTTTTTAAAGAAGCTTGCTTTTCTCCACCTCCAAGCTCTTGAACCAAAACCTGTTCTTCAACTCAGTTGAGATGTTTGTGTCAGCTGACCGTTCACTGGCTCATTACTAATTGTCTTCAGTGTGAGGGACTCAGTCAGTCATTGGTTGCTCTGCTGCCTCTGCGCTGCTCACTTTCTAACCACATCTTCTCTCTTGGGTGAGTTCAACCTTCATCAGTAGTGTCCAAGTTTGTTTCATTTTAAAGGCAGGGTTAGTGCATGGAGGGTGGAATATTTAGGCTATAGTGGCAAAGGTTAGGATACCAGATTATGCAATGCAATCCCTTTTAATCTCCATGCTGTAGAATTGGAGAGTCTTGTTGGGGGGAAAAAATGAAAACCTCGAGAGAAATGCTGTGATTAGAGCTTACTTGGTTCCTGATTGTTTTGGACCCACATTATGTGCCTCTGATGGCTTGCAGGCAGTGAAGCAAACAGACCACGAGGAATGTCAGAGTAAGATCCCACATGTGTTGTGCTACGGGCCGTTCCTTTGCTGCCTCTCAGGTTGAAGTGCAGCATAGTTTCTGAAGTAAAGGACCTAGTTTTCACCTTTAGAGGCCAGGTGATTGCGTTCTGAAGGAAAATGCTTTGTTTTTTTCCAGTGGTTTGCACTGAAACGCTTTCGACGCCAACACTCATACCTCAGACATGGTGTTACAACATCCTCACCAGTCCCTAAGGCCAGGAAGCAGCATGTTGACTCTTTGCTCCTGGGGGTCAAGCCTTGAATTAATGCTTTTTTGTTAAAGAAGGATTATAGTTACAGCCAGATCCATACATTGATGCCGTAAAAGACACAAAGATTAGTTTGCAAATGTGTGAAAGTTTGTAAATAGTGGAAAAAGCCTTCAGTGTAGGTGATTGAACATCTTGATTTGTTGAGTGTAAACTGGAAACACTGATTTCTGATTTTCTTTGAGGTAAGAACCGCCAATTTTAATGTTGACTGTATTTTATTTAGGACTGTAAAATATGAAAAACAACATAAAGATACTAGCTTTTCTTTGTTAGAGGGGGTGATTTTAGATGATGCCCCAAAGATGCGCCTAATATTTATTTACTTTCCTTTAAACAAAGCAAAACTCCTCCAATAGTATGCTAATACTTATTTCATTTATAGAAGGGAATCTCTCAGGACTTCCTCTGCTTTGATAATTTCAATCAAATGCTAAAATAAATAATAATGTTTTTCTGTAGTCATCCTGCCGATCATGATCAAAGAAGATAGAGGGAAAGTTGTCTGATTGATCGTCATTTTGAGAAACGTCAGAGATCTTTAAAAAAGGAGTTTCTCTTTGAGCAAAACAAAAGTTATGTCAGGTTTTTGTCATTTTATGGTCGCTCACTGGCAACATAAAGTTCTGGATCATCCTCACAATCAATATGAGGTGAAGTTAAAGTTACTAAAGTTAGATTAATATGAGCAACAGGCTTCAGTCCACTGAAGTAAAAGCCAAATGCATGAAAGAAAAACATGAGATTAGGTATTAGAGGTCTGAAAAAACAGCTGGGTCTGTCTTTAAACGACTTTATTGAGGAAACTAAGGAATGGAAAATTACAAATTAAGACATCTATGCTGTTGAATTCAAGCCACATATTCATATCTGCCTTCATAAAAGAGAAATAAGCATTCAACCTTTTTCTAAAGTCCCAAACTCAGCCCTGGAACTTTTTTTAGGTCCCTATTTTACATCACAGAAGTCAGAGTCTTTTGAGCGATGACACAATCTGGTAAACTGAATCTGACAGCTGTCATTTCATTTTCATTTAAGGTTTATTTCCCTCATTAAAAAAGGCAAAGTCTGTGTGAAGTTGAAACTGTTTAAAATCTTTAATCTTTAGTCCGCTCCTTCGATGACATAACAGTCATAAGTGAAGAGGGAACTTAGTGGCTCCTGAAGGTCATAAGGTTACCGGCCCATCCATCACGTCCTAAAATGAATGAAGCCACTGTGACCAGCAAACAGACTTCACCTTAAGGCCTAAACATTTATTAAACCAGCAGCTCTTTAACCGATCATAGCTCCTCATTGCTCAGCTGAAATCAGCTTCATTTAAAGCAGCAGCATATTTCTTAGCACCTGTGAAACTGCTTTAGATTTGACAAAAAATTTTCCTAAAACTAAAATATGTCAACATAAACAAAGCTTAAATAATCTTGTGATTATTTTTTTAACCATTAATCTAAAACGAGATAATTTAAGTTAATAAGAAAAAGAAAAAAATCCTTTATTGCACATCTTAATTGAATTGCAATTGCAATGTTACAAAAATACAAGTATAACAATATAACAGAAATGTAATCTTTAAGGAAAAATGTTTAATTATATTATGTTAATAAATGTTTATAGTTAATGTTTGTAGCTTTTTCTTTATTATGATGTAAGTAGGTTATTCTTTCAGCAAATTAGGTGTAACAGTCTGTGCATCATAACTCTAGGTTTAACAATTCGACTTAGACAACTTTTAATGTCATTTTGTAAACAAAGAGTGTATAAAAAACAATATTTCTTTTAGTAAACCTTTTAGACAGTAAATGAACAGACAGTAAATGAATTAGATTCAATTCGTTGACAATTATTCCAATAATTAATTAATTAATTAATTGTTTCTGCCCTAGTTTTACAACCAGACCAGAACAGTGACTGAAACACTAAGTTATAGATGGAAATGAGAGGTCCGGTGTTTTTATATATGTATGGAAATATAGCATATTGCTGCTCAAATTAAAATATTTCACTCAGAAATTCCTGCAATGTTTTACTTTAAGCCGGTTTCAGTGCTTAAACATATTCACCCCAATACTTAAATACCGCATCTTACAAGGTGTTCTGAATTGAGGCATTTTGCAGAGATAAAGTCGATCTTATCACAGATTTTTTTAAGGTAGGTGCACATCTGATGACGAGCTGATAAGGAATATAGCACAGGACAAGTGAACCGTTGCATGACCTTTATCAAACCGTCTCTCCCTTCCAGACGAAAGAGGGGAACATGAAAGAAGATCTGGAAGCGCCTCTGTCTGCTGGACATGAAAGCTTTGCCATCAAGTGCCGGGATGTGTGCCGGTCGTATGGGAAGCTAAAGGTCCTCACCAACCTGAACCTGACCGTACCACAGGGACAGATGTGAGTACTGTCACTCTGAAAGCAGTTCCTACTGGGTTTTTTCTAAACTTTTCAACCCTTTGCTTTGCTCCAGGTCGCTTTAAGTAATGGTCTCTTCCTGGCCTTCCAAGATTTGCACACCATGCAAACCATGTTTGCATTCTTGAAAAAGTTGCCGGCCGGCTGAGGCCAGCCCTCGCCTTTTGTCACTCATCTGTCTGACTGATCAGTTGCCAAACATGTCAGCTTCGTTGTTGGTAGGCAGGTTACCGCCTGTACATACTGTTTAGCTTGTTTTTGTCAAAAGAGGAAAATTCCATTCCTCCTGGGTGGCAAAAGGAGTCTGAGATGAGATTGGAAAAAAGAAAACATACTGTTCAGTGACAAGTTAACCTGCAGCTTCTTGGAAGAACCAGCTCATTTCGTCTTTCTTTGCTGTGTCTGTCGTTTGTCTTTGTCACATCTGAGCCCAGTCAGAGGGGATTTACAGGCGACTTTTTCCCACACAGACCTACATGGTCGAAATGGCAAAAGTACAGAGTTCAGGTTTAATTTTGCAGCATGTCTTCCAAACACCTGTCAGTTAAATGAATTAGCACAATCTGTACCTTTTGCCTGGTAAAATGTTTGCCTGCTGGAATGAAATTGGATAATCTAGGTTGTACCAGGGTTTAGGGGGTCATTAAATTATTATTTTTTTTAAATTAAGGCCTTAATTGGCATTAAAATTTATTAAATGTGATTATAGTGGTATTTAAAATGCTCTATTTAAAAAAATATATTTATAAAAAGTTCATGAAATAAAACTATTTCATTAGATATATTATATCGCAACACATTTGCATGGAACCGGTTGATCGTAAAGCTGTATGTTCGTAAAAGATGCGGAGAAAAAGCTAGAGACTGGGAAAATGCAAATTTCAACAAATTTCAACAAAAGACAGATTGCAGTATTAATATATATATATATATATATATATATATATATATATATATATATATATATATATATATATATATATATATATATATATATATATATATATATAAACTTCAAGTCATGGGTACTTGTTGATGGCATTAAAATTTCTAAGAGCATTAAAAAGCATTAAGTTAGAGGTACTCATTCCTGTATAAAGCCAGTGTACTCCATGATAGTTCCCTGAAAAAAAATACAAATAAAATGTTACTGTACTGCTGTTCTTTTTTTTTTTAACAGTTTATGATATTACCTTTAAAGTGTGTCATAGCAATCATTAGGTATGCTAAGTATGTGCCAAGGTCAAGACCTACTGCACAAGAACAGATAGGTATGTTCTCTCCCCATGGCTGCAAAAACAGAATGACGTGATATTCTTGCTCTCATTCTCTTCACATATTCTAGGCAGAGCATTCAAAGGCTGCATTTGTGAGGCAACGTTTACAAACTCCCAATGATTCAGTTCTTTATCTCTAGGGAAGAATAGAATCTATGAACCAGAAAGAACTTTGTTCACCTTTTTGCAGGGACTTTAAGTAAAATAACACATGCACCTGTTTTTTTTAGACTAGCCTGAAGAGCATGCAAAATATGCTATGATGGTTTGTTTTGAATTAGTACAGATATAAATCAGAATTGCAGCCTTTTAAAGTAGGTTACTTTTGTTTTCTATATGACTGTTATGTAAAACAAACTGGGAAGATTATAGATAATTGCTTAAAATTGTCAGTTTTTAATGCAGAATCTGTGGGGATAAGTGGAGCCTAGTTAATATGAATCATACAGGAGCATTTTCTTCCCCCAATTGATGGGCAATAAGCAAAAATTATGTCTATCCTTTCTTTAAATACATACATTTTTCATATTATTGTTAATGAAATAAATTCCAACTCAATAAAAATTCCTTGTATTTATTTTTTTGCAGTTACGGCCTTTTGGGTCCCAGCGGATGTGGCAAAACAACGCTTTTAAAATGCATCGTTGGAACACTGAAAATATCCAGAGGACACATCACTGTGTTGGGGAAACCGCCTGCATTTCCCGGACATGAGGTTCCTGGGAAAATGGTTGGATACATGCCACAGGTAAAGTACAACACTTCAATTATAACATTAATGAAGATAAATCACTGAAAAGTACAGCAATGCATATAGATAAAAAATAAAGTATTACAGGTACCTCTAGCTGTTAATCTAAGGACAATTATTTGATTTTTAGCCTGTTTAAAAAAAGAAAGAAAGAAAAATTGTTGACATAACTGTTTTGTAAGAGTGGGAGTGTGGAAGATTTTCGGTGGTTTTTCACAGAATATTCTAGAGCTCGTTCTCATGCAGGTGAGCCGCTCTTAAAGGTCCAAAAACACTGTCACGCTCCAGGGCTTCAGCCATTTAGCCTTTGTTGCTGGTAGGCACTGGTTACCTCATTACTGTCAAACTAGATTTTAAACTAGCCAGTAGCAAACATACCATCTCTCTTCATGTTACCTTCAGTAATGTGTTCACTAATACAGATTAGGATGCTTAATATAGAGAAAAGAACTGTAAAAATTGGCTAAATCTGATTTTTTTTCATACAAAACTACAGATTTACTTACATTTTTTAACCAGAAATATCTGGTTTCTGTTTCTATATTATACAAAAAATGATCCAGTGAAAAAATGTAAAGCATTTAAGACATTTGGATTGTCATTTTCTTAAGATTCATTCTGATGGATGGTTGCTTTTTACAAAAAATGTCATAATATCAGCCTTTCATATCAGTTGATATCAATAATTATTGATTATGTTTTCTTTATGTTATTAAAATAAGGACCAGATAAAAAAACTTAAGTTTAGGATTTTAACAATAGGTCGAAGGTTCAAGAATTATAACTATTATTATTATAAGGAGTCAGAAAAGTCAGAGCATTTTGACGGGAATCATGTAATATAAGAAAGTTGGACAAAGCAAAAATAATATCTCCCTCCATGTTGAAAGTCGATGCAGACTGTGCAGCGAACTCTCCTCTCATTTATGACCAGTAAAGGAAACCCTCCCTGACTGGTTTTAACCAAGCAACAGCGATAAAAGTTCAAAAATTTCTAACATCCTTGTGTCACGTCATAAGCTTGGGTGTATGAGATCAAAAATTCCCATGCATGAATAACAGCGGTTGCTTGACTTGGGGAAGGCGAGCAATTTCCACCTCATCACACAGCTGTTTCCAGCCCTAAAAATGAAAGATTTCTAATGCTTCACTTATTTGAAAAGAGAACGCTTCTTTGTAAAGAACAGCCTATAGCAAATGGTAAAGGTTGATATTAAAGGGTCTTTGTATAGTGTGATGTTTCTCTACTGCAGGCGATTACTAGTGGCCAGCTTATAACATATGTTAGACTAGATGGAAGCTGGAGTACCTGGACAAAAACACACATGGTTTTTATGTTTATCAAAAAATAAAACCTCACAAACCTTTTTGCTGTACCTATAAACCCACCAAAGTGGAACCTGAATTTATTTGCTCCTGATCTTATCTTTTCATCAATGTCAGGTCAATGATGATGATGATGTTTTTCTCTATGGCTTCTCTAAAAATAAAGGAAGCTTTAAATACTTGAATCTTAAAACTCTGGTGTTTTTGTGTTGCACAGGAGCTGGCTCTGTACAATGAGTTCACCATTAGCGACACCTTGACTTTCTTTGGACGAATCCATGGTCTGACATCAAAGGAAACCCAGGCGCGCATGGACTTCCTCATCGACTTCCTGCATCTACCTCAGAAACACAGCCTGGTCCGAAATCTCAGGTAAAACCAATAGTAATGACTTTAAAGATGCTACAGTGAGAGGTTTGCGTTAAAAGCATTTTATCCTTAGATACAGCCTATGATTAACTGAGGACTTTGAACCCAGAAGGATCTGTATTAGTGTAGCAGACAAACATTATCTGCTCTTATGAGAGGCTGTAAAACAACAAAACCGTCAGAGTTTGATAATGGAACAGGGGAAAGTCAAATAAGGTTGGCTCTTTAACGACTGTTACATTCACCGCCGTGTTGACAGGACTGACTCAAAGACTCAGATATTTCTTCCTGTAATTATAGTTTTTAAAGGCAGTATCCACCAAACATTTAGAAGTGACGCATTAGTGAAATGACACCCAGAGAAAAAAAAAACTGTATGTTTTTATTCTGTAGAAATTAGTCCACCTTTGCTGACCTAAAGGAGCAGAGATTCAGACGTAAGCATGGAAGAATTTCTGTTGTTTTTTTTTACGGTGTGCCGCGCCGCTGTGGGCCCCACCCTGCCTGCCTCATCGCCAAGGACTAAAAGTGGGCTGTAAGGCGTCTGATTGGCATCCGGGTTTTCCAATTGTGTTTTTCCAATTGAACAATTTTATTGGTTTGTTGCAGCATTCAGCCGCTGCTTCAGTTTTCCAGTTTTTCCTTTGATTTGGGGGTGTAATACAAAAAAAAAAAAGATAAAACTCAAAACATTTTTCTGCATAGATTAAAATAAAAGGATTAACTCGTTAGTCTTCTTTTGTTGTTATGGAAGTATTCCAGCCCATGCTTGTTGGTCTCCATGCTCCTTTTGTGGTAATGAAGTCTTGTCATGGTTTTGCACGCTGTGGTTCAACCTTACATGGGAAACTCCACCAAAGACGTTACACAGCAGATATGTCTGGTATGCACAAACATGTTCTAAACGCCACCATCATAACAATGCTTATGCAATGATAAGTTATTTGGTCATGTAATTAAAAATCCAGTTGTTTTCTAAATAATGATTGTTAAATTTTGATGTAAAAAGTGGTTGTTTTTTATTATGTAACCCATAAGCATTACTTGCTGTTTACCATAGCCCTGCCAAGCAGGTTTGTCTTGACCGTTTGGTTCTGGAAGCTTTCAACTCCCACCTTTTTGCCTTCCTTTGGATCGAGCGGCATGCATACATTAAGCAGTTACGAAACAATTGGGAACATTGGAGAAGTTTTCTTTTTTTTCTCATGTTTTCCCTTTCTGTGTGTCACAGCGGGGGTCAAAGGAGAAGGGTGTCCCTGGGAGCTGCTTTGTTGCAGAACCCTGAGCTGCTCATCCTGGATGAGCCCACAGTCGGAGTGGACCCTGTGCTTAGAGCTAAGTATGTATCTGCTTGTCTGCTCTCTGTGAGTCACGCAGCAGGTCTGCAGACTGTTCTTCACAGTCATGTCTTGTAACTTTCCAGCTGCCCTTAGACAAACTAAACCCATTGAAGAAGGACATTTTATTTGATACAGCTGAGATCCACATGCTTCATACATTTATAACTTTTAATTGGGGTGCAATACCAAAGGTACAAATAAAATAAAAACACCAACATTTATAGATACAACACATTTTACCTCAATCTGACATGAAATCAGACCAAATCTTTCCCAAATCTTTGATCTTTTAACTCAGTTAAAATTAGCCCGAGTTTTTGTTTCCTAATTGACCAAAAAATAAAAGAAAAAACTAAAATTGAAATTTTTAGAGAGATTTCAAATTCTCCTAATTCTCCAAATGACCTTTTTGTTTTAGATAGGGCTGGATGATATGGCTCAAAAATGTAATCTCCAATCTTTTTCCTTCCAAATCGGATTAATCTATTTTTTTCTTACGTATGTTTCATAAAAAAGTACAAATGACATATATTGCTTTCCAAACTTAGCTTTTATTTCACTCCTCCTCCAATGAAAATAACTAACTAAAGCTTAGCAGCTGGTGGCATCGCACAGAGAGCTAGTTTGTAAGTTACAGTATGAGAAGACATAATCAAAAACAAAAACGTAATGAATTTTCGTCACCCTGCTCTTTTAAAGCGCAATGAGTGGATTGGGGCAAAATAATCCTAATTTTCTCATCAGTTTTTAAACACACAAATATTTCCAAGCAGCAATATTTCTCTCTCCTGCAATAACTATGTTGTTACTATCAACCAATTAAATAATTATATCACCACTGGCTGCACATCATCCAAAACAGATGTTTAATTTGTATCTAAGGTTGCAGTCTTAAGGAAAATGAAAGCAATCATTATCTATAATTTTTTCATCTTAAACACTTTTGGTTTACCTGTAAATGATAAGATAATATTATTCAAATTGTCAAATAATTTTACTATCAGTTCATGTGAGTCAGTGAAGAAATTCATGTGATCATGTAAAATGACAACTCAAGCTCTCATAAATGAGCATATAAATAGGTAATTAATAGAAACATTTAAATATTATTGTGATGAAACAGTAATCTTCAGAGTAGATAAACACACACAAAAAAATAGCATATGAAAAAAATCAAATATGTGAACGTACTAAGGTCTTGTTGAAAAAGTACCCATTTACAAAAATACCAGGAAATTAGAGTAAAAATTACTTTATCAAAATGTTTTTCTTTAATTTTCTCCCTGTTTATTAAGGTGAAGATGTCACAGTAGAAGCGGTGAACATAGTAAACATGTGCTTAAACACAAAAGTTTCCATCTTTAATAAAAAAAAAAGCTTTCTGGTATTTTATAAAAATGTGTAAAATCTTATAAAAATGTTGCTTTATCTTTATTAGGAACATTGTTATTACTGTGCATCATTTATAAAGTTGCTATTGTTTCTCAGTGATGCACTCTTTAATACCTCTACTGACTAGCAGTAAACAGCAACAGGTGAGGAAAGGGCACCACAATGTTACTTCCCACACTGCCTGGACAAAATTCAGCACTCTACCTGGCGTCTCAGTAAGGTGATGGAAATTTTTTTAGCACTTTGAAAGTGAAACGTAATGTCAGGAACTAGCTCATCCTTCCCTATCTGAGTTTCTATACAAAAGAAAAAAAGAAACAATGGCAGTATAAACATTTTTCTAACCTTAAGCTGATACTTTTGACAAAAACCTAACAATCCTTTGGTAAAAACACATCCTGGCAGCTCAGTAAAGAGTCTCACCAGCTGAAGTCAACCTAAACGGTTTAGATTATTCCTGATAAATGTCGACTTTTGAAAGCATAATCCCCCCTGCAGGGTGTTGCTGCAGTATCATTACATAATCACTAACCAGATCAGACGGCTGGAAGCATGGCAGCTTCTGGTGAAGCATGTGAGCTGTGAGTTTAGGAAAACTCCACTGGTCCACTGGTTGGGTGTTATGTAACCTATGTTTTTTTTTTTTGCTTTGTTTTTCTTTTGTCTTTGGTTGTAGGATCTGGCAACATCTGGTGGAGATTGTGAAAACGGGGAAAGTCTCTGTCATCATTACTACGCATTATATAGAGGAGGCCCGGCAAGCCAATGTGGTAAGCAGATAAGCAGGTGCATACATGTATACACACTGCAAAACACTGAATGGAGAAATACAAATTACTTAGGCATAAAATCCAACATCTATAGAACACAGAGTAATGAGCCTCTAGAGTAATTATAGTATTCATTAGCTTTGACAGCAGGGTCATGAGTTCTGATCCGGGGGGGAGATGATGGAATGAGGATGAACAAAGGCTCAGCTGTGTGCTTATTTACATCCTCTGAACAATTTGATTCATGTCTATGATGTAGCGTTTCCTCATAGTGAAAAACTGTCATCATGTTTCTCCTAAAAATGATGGAAAACTGCAGGGCCTTGTTTGTTTTTCTAGAAAAAAAATATTCATACCACATGTTTGTCTATATGGTATGAATTTGCGTATACCTACAAACTCTAGGTACAGTTTTGTTTTACAAACATGTCAACAGCTGATTATATTATGATGATATTTTGTGTGCGTTCAACATTTTAGGATTCATTTGTTTGGATCTTTAATTGGATGATATCAGTGGAGCAGGAATATCTGATTGCTACAAAAAGACAATAATTGCAAAAATATTTTTTAAATGGCAAAGAAGGGAAAAGAAATAGCAATAGAAATGTAAAAAAAAAAGTGTAAAGAAAAAACTGACTTTGCTGTAACAGGAAAAGAACCAGTTCATTACTGGTAACTGCAGAAAAATGTGTATAAAAGACACACAGAAAAATTTTATGATTGCTGTTATGCTTAAATGTTTAGGTCTGGGCTTTTAAACAATTTTCTACAAATTAATTTTAATTTTGATTTAAAAAAGTTATTTTTTTAAATATTTTTAAAGATTACAGTAAATAAATGTATTAAGAAACCTTTGCAAAACCTGTTTCCTTAAGTCACAAGAAATCCATTAATCCCCAGGGTTCATTTGTTTTACTAATAATCTCCTTAAATGCACCAAATGTTTCTACAGTCAGAAAGCATTTGGCTTTCTTTTTTTTTTTGCGATAAAGAGTTTGCAGGTTTGCTGCATTCCTTCTGGCCTTAGGATAAGCTAAGCTAAGTTTTTGCTTTTTTGCTCCTAAAACAATTTGTGGCATTTCTCCATGCTGAAAATCTCTTTCCTGTAAGCCAAGCAGTCAAACCAGATTGAAGGGTTAAAACAGATTTTTTTTTCTTTTGTTTTATATGAGAAAAAATAATTGGTTCTTAGCTTATAAACCACTAATAGATACAAAAAGAAACTGCTGGTTCATTAAAGTTAAAAGTTTTATTTATTTTTTTTTGATTATGTTGCAAGGGACTATATAACCTCTAATTTTCTGTTTAATTTTTTTTCACATCTTATTAAGGTTTAACATTTAGTCAGAAAGGGGTTTTTAGTTGCTATTCATGCCAACAATAAACCAATAAATTGACATTAAAAATTTCTTTTTTTTTTTACTTTTTAGCATCATGTAGATATTTTTTTAGATTGGTTTAAAACAAAACAAGATAAATGAGGTAGCAAACGACGATGCAGTTATGTAAAGTTGCAACCCATGATAATGCCTTTAGGACTGAACCATTGACCTGAATAGATGCGGGGGGGGCATAAAATGGGAAGTAGCACATTATATTTACTCATTTATTAAATAACTAGAGTACTCTAAGAGTGACAAATACAGTAAAGGACTGAATATTCTTGAAGAGAGTCTAAATTAACGACTGAAACCAGGCTAAGAAAAGATACAAAAGATTTAAAAACAGAAAACATTTACTTTTAAACATTTACTATAAAAATATACTTTATGTTAACATTTTTCTTTGCTCTAACAGTTCCTACTTTCTATCTGAAGCTTTCAACATTTTCACAGATGATATCTGATTATTTTAGCTGCTGAAACATCACTTCTGGTTTCTTGTGTAATCATTTTTCAGCTCTTTCCACTGTAAAGGGAATTCACCTGCTTGCTTAACTTACAGTAGTATCAGAAAGTATTCACACTCTTAGTAGTAGTAGTAGTGTTATAAGTGTTTTTTTTCCTTTCTATATTTTGTTATTTTTCCCTTTTTTTGTTTTTGTTTTTACAACAGAATATGCTATAATATTATCTAGTTTATTTGCAGATCAATGCACGGTCTGCTACACTAAAATAGCATAATGATTCATAAGTATTCATAAGTTGATTCATAAGTTAGTTCCTGCTGCAGAATAAGATCCCCCTACATGATGCTGCCACCACCATGCTTTATAGTAGAGATGGTTGTAGCTAGGTAATGCGCAGCACACGTGTTTCCTCCAGATTTGGCCTTCAGGATAAATGTAAGTATTGCAAGAAAGCAACTCCTGAAAACCTCTTAAGGGCTTTTTTTTTAAAGGTTTCATAAAGATGTGACTGGTGGAGCATATAATGGGTGGTTGTCCTATCTTGTCAGGAAACACAGAAGCTCCACCTTAGTAACCAATAGGTTCATAGTCACCCTCTTTTTCTGATTACTCTGTCTGCTCAGGGCCTGATCTAGATTGGCACATATTTTTTTCTCCTCTTCCATTTCCAAATAATGCCTTGTAGGATGATAATTTTTTCTGACAATTTGAATACCTTTTCCCCAAATTTCAGCCCTCAGTAGAAATGATTCACTCTGCTAACAGTTGCTTTGACCCTGTTGCTCTGCTTCGCTCCAGAGTTCACCTCCATATCACACTCTGGCAAATCATTTTACTACAGATGAAATCGTAATAAGCTGCAAAGCAACTCTTGGATGATCAGGAAATCTGTTCAAAGTGCATGATGACCTACATATTTAAACATTTTTACATAACGTCTAACCGTTCATATTGTGATTGTAATCTGTTTTGTGTGAACTCTGTAAGTTTTACTTAAATTTATTTTAGAGTAAGTCTTGTGCATCTAATTGTGTAGAAAATTACAGGTGTGAATACTTTGTGTTTTATTGCTGTAAGCTTGGCAGGTGGGTTAGGAAAACAGTATTTCCCCCTTCCACAGCTGGATTACTCTGCTATACTGTAGTTACCCTAGGTATATTAACCCATTGACACTTGATGGTCTTGTTGTCACTTAAGACTATTTTTTTTTTTAACCAGCTGAGAACAAATTGCACATCTAATTGCGCATAACTTGAAATAAGAGCCCAAGTCTTTTTTTTTCTTGCTGAGGGAGACATAGAGAATAATAAAAGCTTTCACCAAAACTAGTCTGACAACCTGGAGGTGATTACCTTCAGTGTCAGACAGCTGCATGCACTGTACAGAGGTAGAATGACGCAAATGCGGGTGCTAATCGGCTTTTGTGATTCCTGCACCTTGACAGAGGAATGTTTGGTCATGTAATAAGCATAACAAAGATGTGCTGCTCTACTAATTTCACTGAAGAATTAAGTTCACCTGGGAGTTGGAACGGAGCCATATCACTTTGACGTGACCTAGAAAAAGGCAGATTTATCAGTTCCCTTTGTATCCTAGCATCGGTTGTAGCAGGTAAACGATTACAGCCAGCGCATTGTTCCTGCAGCTTTACTTTGTGGCATGTTTGCACCACAGATATCAGCAGCATGCATTTAAAGAATGAGTTCTTGAATATCCCCAATTAAATTAGCCTTTTTGATTTCTGTTGTATATTAGCTAAAATATACATCATAACCTGATTTTACAATGAAGTTTTTCTTCTGCAAAACTGCTTTGTAACATCATGTGTTAAGGAATCACTAGGAAAATCCAAACCCTGTTGTATTGTGCTTTACATAAGTATACATACCCATCATATTATTGTGAGATTACAGCCTTAAGTTGTTTATTTCTGATGGGATCTAATATAATAGACACTACAGATGAAATAGTATCGCTGTATTTACAGCTACAAGTCTTTTGGGGCAGTTTATACCTTTTCTTCTTTTGCTTTTTTCTGTTAAACTTTTTCCTCCAAGTATCTCTGACCTGATTCACTGTCACACCATTATGCTGGATGATGTTCATGGTTTGAAAGCTGTCAAAAAAGTTCACTTTCATCTTATTTTGCAAGAAAACCTCCCATAAGTCTGCTCTCAGTCGGATGGCTTGAGGACGACAGGCTGTAGTTTGTGCATACAGAACACATTTAAAAACGTATTTAAATGCTAAATATAACATTTAAACTTACTTTTACTTTTAAAACATATTTTAAAAACAATGTATCATTTCTCTTTGCAATTCTGTGCTTCTGTGTTGTTCTCTGACATTAAATACATGAGAAGACATGTGGAAAGTGGAAAAGTTAAAGACAGGTTCATACTTTTGGGAACCCTTCTGGAGGAATAAAAGTTGTTCACCCAACAGTCATAAAAGAGAAATTCAAACTGCCACCAGGACGACATATGAAGATTTTTTGATGTTTAGATGGACCTTAATCGGACCTGTTTCTTCCAGTAGAGCAGTTTGCTTTAAGATTCATACTTCAACTGTTTATCTACAGTAAAGTGCGACTTTCTGTTCCTGTTCCACATTTCTGCTTATCTTCTATTTCCTCTATTTCTGCTGAAGGTTAATGCTGTTAATCAGTTTTAGGAACTCAATAGCTAAACTAGATGTCACCTTCCTTTTGTTGCTGCTTTGAGAGCTTTAGGGCCCAGTTGCACATTCAGCAGGACATAAGGGATTTTCTAAAAGTATGCAACGACCTATTGTCTTTATAAATATCCATGCTTAAGATAAACATGCAGGTGTTCAGGTCTTAATTGGTTAATTAAACCATTTTCCCTATAAATTATTTGGTGTATTTTCTTATTTTCTTAAGGTCGGTCTGATGAGAAACGGCCACTTGCTGGCAGAAGGTCCTCCAGATGCTCTCATGAAGCAGCACTGTGCAACAGTGAGTATTTTCCAGGTCTCTCAACGTGTTACTCCCTAGAGTGGGGGTTGGTTGGGGTTAAACCTGAAAAGCTGACTTAAGTGACTTGCTTTCTAATGAAGGAAAAATGACTAAAAAGGGGTAAAATTAAGGGTGACCTCTCAGGCCTGTTCATAAACATGCATCGCAGCTTGTTTTGATCTGTCCTGTCTGCTGTTTGCAGACCCTGGAGCATGCCTTCCTGCAGCTGTGTGAGACGTCGGACCAGAACTCCACCCAGGAATCTAGCTCAGAGAGCGGCACCCTAGAGAAAGACCAAACTTTTCCAAATGGCCGGGATGAGAGTGAGCCGATTCTCGCAGTCGGACCGCCGCCTGTAGAAGAAGTTCCTAAATGTACAGGTATGCATGTGTGCATGAAGCATTCCATCTCAGTATTGCAATGGTTTTCATTTTGTTTGTTTAATTATTGAAACTCCAAGGTTAGGTACATCAGTGCCAACAGTTATTTTATTTCAGTCATTAATTCTATAAGCCATAACTGTAAAAATATAAATTTGAATTTGCATTGGGGAAGTGGGTGTATTTCTCACCATATGTCGTCTGAAATATGTCTCCTTAACCCATCTCAAGACTCTGCATGACAAGGAGTGAGTATTAGAGAAAAGGTTTGCCTTTAATGCTGCCTGTTAGCAGGGTAACTGCTTTTCTCCAATAACAAAAAAGTAACACTTTTGACTAGAATCGTAATGTAATTTATTTTGCAAATTTTTCTACCCAAAATTCTAGTTATTCCCATTTTATCATCCATGGGCGTAGGTTTGCATAGGGACCATAGGGACATGTCCCTACCAAAATTTTGAACCGACCTAATTGTCCCTACCAATAATTGGATGTGAGCAACATGTTTATAATTTCCAGCAGTAGTTGTTGCAGCAGAGGCTTCTTTTTCTCTCACAGCTCCTCTGCCTGGTCTCTCCTGTCCCTTTCATGTAGCAGCGCATGGAACTGTGCTGCGCTGTTTAACTCAACTCTCATTGGTTGGTCTGCCTTAAGTTCCGCCTTCTCTCTCTCTGATTGGCTGTTTTCTAGTCAGCCTGTGCTTGGAGCACAACATTGAAATTTTATTCACACTAGAATGCTGCGGTTACTACAATTAATATTAGGCTACAAAACTAGTCCCAATAAAAAAAAATGAATATCATGTACACTAAAAAACAAAAACCTTTTTTTTTTCTTTTATAAAACGAAATATTCTGAGTCAGCCAGGAGATCTGAAGACTGCTGGAAAAATGGGCAAATAAAGGCTGTAAGCATCAACATTTCTGATTCTTAGCCACAGCCACCTAAAAAAGAAAATGTGAGGGTTTCTTTTTTACCGATATTTAGTTAATATTACTGTTTTCATTTTTTTGTTTTTATTTTTACAATTTTGATATAATAACTGATCTAAGTGGGTTGCTCTGTGGGGAAAGGCACATTTTACATTTATATTACTGTATGTTTTAAAGTCTCTATTCTCCAGTTAATGATGAATCACTTACTAAATTAGTTGACAGTTTTTGAAATAATTAATTAATATGATTCATTTTTTTCAGCCCCAGATGAAATACATGAAATGTGCTACACAGAGTACCTACAGCCCAGATGTTCAACTTTTATAGTGAAGTTAATATTTTAATGAATGTATTATTTTGCTTGATACAGAGAGAGAATAGTAGGTACAAATATTAGAGTGGGGTTTAACTCTGCACAATTCTATATCTTCAAAAGAAAATACTGTATTTACCTTCTCTCTTAGTCGTTCAAATGAAACCATTTTCAAAGTGGAAAACAGTCCTAATTCCACATTCATCAGAGCCGGTGATACTTCAAACATTGATAAACAGCATCTAATGAGTGTAGAGCTTATAACATTGTTATTAATGGAGCAAAATGTTTTTCTCTTTTAACAATGAATTCCTCTTATCAGTACGGATGCTCACATTGAGCATAAAAAAGGACATGCATATTGCATAGCACCAATGACACCAGGCCAATAGTGTCCCTACCAAAGTTCAAATCAAACCTACGCCCTTGTTATCATCTGAATATTTAGCCGAGACCCTGTATTGTCCACTTATTTTCTTCCATATTTTTAATTATACATTTTCCAAATCAAGCCTTATCTGTACGACTATACTTTATAGTCGCTTTATGATCGTCGGCCTTGTAGCGATACAGCTTTTGATAATAGACTGACGTTTATCGATACCTTATCAAGACATTGGAGCATTCTGTAGATGACGGCTATGATAAATGCAGTGATGAAGTGGGATCATGCTCCTTCACAATATTTGCTTCCTTGTTGGGTCACTATAGTAAATCTGTTGTGCACTTTTTGGAGGAAATATTTCTAAAATAGAAAAATCCTTTATTAAACTACAGTGTAAAATTTCATGAGTTTTGCAGGAGCAAGAGCGTGGAGCATAGTAGTTTAAAACAGAAGAACAAATTTTACATAATGAACCGCACACTCGGATAACATTAAATACAATGATAGAATGAACAGAAACGTGTACAAAGCTGGAATTCCAGCACAAGCGTTTTATTTGAGTTATTCGATAGAGTTCTGATAGCAATAGATGTGTTTGTTTTTAGTGATAATCTTTATTGAAATTGAACACTTTTAGTTCAACACTTTAATCTAATTCAGAGTTTCTGTTGGATTTCAACATGTGACCCAAAAAAAATAACAAAACAACAGACTGGAGACCCCCTGAAAATATATTTTACAGTAATACTACATATATATATATATATATATATATATATATATATATATATATATATATATATATATATATATATATATATATACATATGAAGTGAAGTAATATTATTTTTTACTTTAATTTCTATAAACTGTTTATTGTTTAGTTAAATAAATGAAATTTATTTTCAATTATTAATTGTGCAACTTAAAATTGAATGGAGTATTCAATAGTTGAAATATTGTATTGTTTTATCTTGATCTAGTGACACTAGAAAGGGTTGAATTTAACTCTTTAGGAGTTAAATTAGCACTTAATTTACACAGACATACACACTAACATTTGTGTATGTCTGTGCTAACTTGCTGTTTTCCTAAAGCATCTCATTGAAGAGCAAGTGACGGATGGTTTTGTGTGTTTCTGTTCTAGTGGACTGGAAGGAGCGTGCCAGACACATACTGCCGAAGGGGAGGAACATCGGAGCGTTGGTCATTAAAACGATGGTGCGGATGAAGAGAATGCCGGGGTACGTTCTGTTTTTGTGTTTGTTTTTTTTTTCATCTAAGATTATTTGCTGGTGGGTAACAGCAGGACAGAAGAAGCAGCTGCTTTTTTGACTGTGGCGTTCTCCTATGTGCTTGCAGCTCGCTGTGTTTCCAGTTCCTGCTGCCCGTCATCCAGATCTCTCTCATCTGTTTATGTGTGGGCGGAGATCCGAAGGGGATCAAGGTTGCCGTGGTGAATAACGACACTAGCCCTGCGTCCTCCTCCTACAGCCAGTCACTGCTCTCCTTTCTGGATAACTCCAGCGTCATTCAGGTATAACTGTGACCCCGAGTCTCATTGTTTAGTCACCAGATGTCCTTTATTTTATTTCACATTCTTTGATGATCTAATCAGAAACTAGGACAAAAAAATATTGGTTATCCTTTCCATTTTCAGCATGTCAACCCAAACAATCATTTTCTTACACATATGGTACATTTAAAGCTAGACTTGTACCATCAAACAAATGTTCAAAGTTTTTAAATGAATTCATTCAAAGAAAGCTAATTTACTAAGTTTTTCAACATGGTAGGAGTGGATGTGTGTTTTCTTTATTAAGGCCTGCTCAACCTTAACCAACTAAGTTTCAGTTCTATTTCTCTACAGATCAGACTCTAAGACTTCCTTCCTTCTAGGAAAGTTTCTTTCTGTTTGGAGAGGAACTACAACCTCTCAGCACACTGTAACATACTCACAGTATACAGTGTAAAACTGACCAGTGTTGTTTAAAACACCTATCTCTGGTGTTAAAGTAGGAATATAATTACTTTAACTTATTTTGGTTTTTAAGTATAGCAATAGTAAAGCAGTCATCCAAGAAATGACTCAAGTGAGAATGCAAAAAAAATGTAATCAGACAGAGAAATATGTTCAAATGATGGTTTATCAAAGTATTTAATAAAATGTAAGAAATAAGGAATAAATAACATGTTTTAAAAATAAATAAATTCAACATAAACTTATTACAGTATTCATTGACAGACTGCTGCACCATAAATGCACCAGGGAGCGTTAGCATAGATCCTTCCTCCCGGCAGCTGTAAGACTTTATAACCATCACTGTTCCCAACAACCTCAATAAGTTACTACATTAATGATGATTTTGCACAGTTTCTACCTTAGTCAGTTAAATAACATGCTGCGGTTATTTTGCACATCTCTGATGTTGCTGCTATTTTCAAATATTCATTACTGTAAAATGTCCATTGCTGCATATTGGTTATTTATTCTCAGGTAAACAGTATTTATATTGTGAAAACACTTTATAGTACCGTATTATATTTGTTTATGTTTTACTTTTCTCTATTATGTTATATTTATTCTAAGGTCCTCATTTGTGTGACAATTTTTTCTATAATCTTTTTGCTGCTGTAAACACCAGGAATTCCCCATTGTGGGACAATAAAGGGATTGTTTTATTTTATTCTATTCTATTCTATTCTAATGCTTAAGTAGGATAAGGAAGATATTTATTAAGTTATTTCACCTGATCTCGATCAGATCAACTTACTCATGGTGGTTGGAGTAATCAGAAAGTTTAAGTAGGAGTAGCAATTCTCTGAGAAGAAAACTGAATTGTTCAAAAAGTCACCCTAGTAAATGTTATTAGTTATTACCTATGTCATCTAACAAATCAGCAGTAAATTAAAACTGTTAACATTGAATAAGAATCATCCAAAAAAAATATGAAACATCCCTTTATAGCCTCTCTCCATTGGGTTCCTTAATATTAATATATAGAATTAATTTTCCTAAATGGCCAAAGCCTCTATGAATTCATAACTGACCTGTTTTGTTTCCATCTGTTCTCAAGTAGAAAGGAAACAGCAGCTTTTCAGTTTGTGAAACCATGTACATCTTGATGCTCCTTCTGTCTCCATCTTTGTTTGACTCTTCCTAGTTTGCTACTTCCAGCAGATTAATCGCTACAAATTATATGTTTTTTTTTATGTGTCTGTTTTCCATAAACTATCGCTCATTGGAATAAAATGTTTGTAGTTCCTCTCTATTTGCTCTCACTGTGTTTAAAATGCAGATCTCTGCGCAGAGAGAACTGGATTTAAACGCACTATTAAAACATATTCTGAAAGCTTACTGAAAACTAAAACGGTTAAATAAGAAATGCTGTTATCTGGAAATAGTATAACATCAGAAATTCTTCTGTTTTTTCATTGGTTTAGGTTCCTGTCACCCATAACGAGGCTTTTGAAGGAGTCTATAAAGGAGAGTACTGGGGCGTCATCGGCTTTGGACAGAACTTCACCAGTTATTTAACTAAACGGTAAAAAAAAAACAAAAATGGAGAATCAGCTGTGATAAGACAAAGACATTGAATTGTTTTCTTTGGATTTTTTTGTTTTGCCAAGTACCAGAATCTAGGTAAAATAAAGTAAATGTATTCTACTAGAGAAAAAGAACTAAGTTTTTAACTTTTTTTTTAACTGATTCCTTAAAAATATACATATATGCACAAATATCATTAAAATATTTGTTTTTGAGGGCCATCTAAGAACAACAAGAGCTTATTAAGGTTTTAAGGAAGTGGTACATAAATCGCTTATTTATTATCCCTGTTATTTTTAACTGACAGAAAATAAAAGAGAGGAAAACAAAAAAGGAAAAACATCTTTTCTTTAAGCTTGTGCTTTGCTCTATAGATAAATCCTCATAAAGCATGGTGCACTTTCTTCTGAGTTTCAGAAAAAAATCCTCTAATATTCACTATATTGTGACAACTATATTCTAATATTCAAATCTGCACAAAAGATTTCGTTTCATCCTTGAAAGGAAAATTCCAGATTAGTCTGAAATTTACTGTAAGCAACTAATAAGGTTAACCTTGAACATTAGGGAGGAAAATACAAGATAAAAAAAAAATGGGTGGAACTAGAACAATCTTAAGAGCTGCAACCTAAAGAATCTCAAATTATTTTTAATAAAACCAATTTTTCAATGAGGTTTCTCCTCCTCATTGGCAGTATGTATCGGCAGGTTATTCTCTGCTGGTGTTCTTGTGTTTTTTTCCCACTCAGCTCAGGATGTGAAAAGCAGGATCTGCATAGAGTGGAGCAGAGCTGCGTAATGTTTGTAACTGTAATCCTCCAATCAGCTCTCACATTTCTCTGCGTGGCTATTGTTACACATATATACAGGAAGCTTCTCAAGCCCTACAAAGACACATACTATACGCTGCAGGGATACTTCAACTGCTTGAACCTTTTTACTTTTTGCCTCTTTATTACATATCTACTACTTTAGTCTGCGATATAAAGGATAGACAAAAAGATATGAGTGCGTTATTGTGAGGAAGAAGTAAAATGCTTGTTTTGTTTTTTTACTGTAAAATATGTCAGTAGTAGTGGCAGGGTCATGCTGTGGGGCTGCTTTTCCACAGCAGGGGCAGAGAAGGCAGCAGAGGCCTTTTTTAATCAGAAAACATTGAAATAAATGTTCTGACTGAATTGGAGCTAATTTACAAAGAAATATGAGAAAATATTTTAGCCTCCAGATCAGCGATGGTAGAGAGACATGCCCCAAAGGATTTGCAGCTGTAGTTGCAGTGACTCATAGGCATATGAGTGTATGAACAAATGTATGCCAAGTTTTTGCAATTGTTTTTACAAATTTTACAAAAACTTGAAGCACGATTCATTGTCTTTCCATTAATGGACACCTTCCTTTCTCCCGCATAAAATCCAAGCGAAATAGCTTTAACTTTGAAGTTTTGATGTGGAAAAATATGTGAAAATGTTAAATGGGTCCAGATTTATTAACTTAATGTTTATCTCTTTTTGTCACAAATCGTTTCCCTTAGTATCAAATACCAGCCCCTCTGCAGGCCCCAGCCTCTGAACCTCATTTATTATTGAACTGGTTCCACGACACATTTGACCTGCTTAATAATTTATATCTAAAAGAGTAAAGAAAAAGAGTCAGAAATTAGAAAAATTACAAATCTTCTATTGGGGAAACAGAGATGATCGGAATATAATTCTGACGAATCTGGAGGGAAAATCCAAGCAGACACAGAAAAAATAAAAACAATTTTATTTTAGAGATTCTAAGCTTCAATTCCTTCCCTTTCATGTTTCAAAAAACAAATCATCATCCTCCTGTTTCTCTCCCTCCTTCCTCTTTTGTCACCATCAGGGTTTGTTTGGTTTTTCTCCTCTTGGGCCGATGCTCTTGTTGTTGTGCACCTGCAGCACAGTTCTGTCCTGTTCAGTCATACTTCAAACACAAAACCAGTTCAGACCGGCTCTGTTAAAGCATGCAAGGGTGTCAAACAAAAAGTGCATTCCAGCTACACAAGACAAACTCAGCAGTGAGAAAAAATGTTCACCACACACACACACACACACACACACACACACACACACACACACACACACACACACACACACACACACACACACACACTTGCTCTGAGACCAGGAAACCACCTCACAGATCGGGTTATGAAACTTGTTTCCTTTCCCGTTGTTTCAACCTGGCTGACCTCTGACCTAATATATGTTCTGATATCAGGATGATCCTAATAAAAGCGTTTTTTTGGCTTTAGATTTTCAATGTTTTATTAATTTAATCACTTGGCACTGCAGTACTTGCAGTATGTTTTTATATTTTAGTTCTTTAACCTAATGATTCATCAAAGCTTCACTTAAGCCAAAAAATTAAATGCAGAGAGTGGTAGGAGCTGCCATATGCATTAATGATATATTTAGGATGTAAAAGTAGAAAACAGATTCTGATTTCCTCACTTTCTTCTGTTAGAGTCACTCAGAGCTTCTGTCATGTGAACATGAGTCAGTCCTCAGTTTTTGTTTTTCTGCCTGAATCACAGACTCGCAGGTGGACTTTCTGGTCCATCCTGTTCGTAAAAACACTCTGTTTGAACGGTCGACCAATCAGACACCTGTGCGTTTTCCACATCCTCGGCCTTGGGATAATAATCTATTACGAAACAGCTCAAAAAAGAAACAATTTCCTTTCTTTAATTGTGTTGAATGCAGGCAGGATGGAAGTAAAACAGATCAGCAATACATAGACATTGTTTTTGTGTATCATCTCCAGCATTAAACACAAGGCTCAAAGATGGCGGTTCTAGTCCATAATTGGAAGGAAAAACACATGTGCAGTACCTCAGATAAACAAAAGATGGCGCTCAGCACTTTGCAACAGTTTTTAAGACACAGATCTCCAGTTCCTGCAAATATTCAGATTAATTAAGTCCCAAGATACAAACTACACTACCAGTGCCATTGATGTTGGATGTTTCATACAATCAGGGAACAAAGATTTGTTTTGGATCGAAACAAATCAGCAGTGACAGAGAGCAGGAGCAAAAATTAGCTGCGTTTTTGTTTTATTCTCTCAGCAGGAACATGAGAATTAGCAGCAACTGTGAGAACTTGTCTAACAGAGAGAGAGATCAGATTTCAAAGTTCAAAGTGCAGTGCAGCTGGAGTAGAGGCTGCTGGTGAGGGAGAGTGAAGGCATGACCAACGTAGTATTAGCAATTTATCAGGAGCTATTAACTGAAAGCTTGGCATGTTTCAGTTCCATTCAGTATATCAGGTTGGTTAACTGTTTCTGTCTTTTCCAGTCACTGACTCTGCAGGATTTGCACCCCCTGGATAAGCATGAGGCATCAGTAGATATTTGCCTCTATTGTGTCGTTGACTATAGAGCAATCCCTCACACTGAGCATGCATGCAGCAACAGTGGAGAGGAAAAACCTGCAGCAGAACCAGGCTTGGCGTGAACAGCCTTCTGCCGAGGCCAACTAAGCGTTCAAAGAAATAGAAGCTGAAATAGTAAAGGAAAATAAATGCACCGATTTGTGGGTAATTTCTATGTTCGAAAAGGTAACAGTAAACTAGCTCCCTTGGTGGACCTGTCTAGGAAAGATACAGTTAAGCAGATGAGCTCTGAGCAAGTTTTCCTGTCAAAGGGATGAAAGAGAGCACAGTTTGTAACAGTAAAAGCTGAGCCCATTGCTATGTCTACGTGAGAAACAGGACCAAGCACTTAAATGCAGAAACAACTCTATCATCTATGATCAAAAGATGGCAGCAGTGTAGATATTACCCTCCATGATGGTTCTCACAGCCAAACAGGACCAGGCCAAATGCTGCTACAATGATGAGTAAAAGCTAGAGAGAACATAAAGTTAGAGGTTGAACTAACATATACTACGAAATAGTAGAATGGAAGCAGAAAGGAGCATAAAAATATAGAGTGGTCCCTATGTCCTCCGGCAGCCTAAGTCTATAGCAGCATTTACAGTAATAGATGGCTACTGTACAAGGAGCAGGTTTTGGTCTAGAGTTTAGTCCAGAGAGCCCTGTTCAATCTTAGTCTCACTCTTTCATTTGGTTTGTTTGCTCATGTAACCTTTGCTGGTGGACCGCAACGTCCTGAGACTGTGACACGGCTACAGAAGATAGAAAAGAATCTGTTCACTATTACCATTTAATTAAAACAAAAATAAGTGCCTATCTCTACTTCTGGTTTAAATAGTTAATACATCCAAAATTAGAAGGCACACAAAATTAAAGCTAAAATTGTTTTTTTTATTAAACAGAACATGTTTCTAAAAGGAATTAAATAGGCAGTGAATTAAACATGATCAATAACTATTTAATAAATAAAAAGCTACAAAAAGATGCAATATGTTGTATGAAAGGAAGGTTAATGAGAAGGCAGAATGAAAAAAGTGGTTTAAAGATTTAAATGATTAAATTAAAATTCTTACATTTGAGTTAGAATCTAGTTAACTTGACTGAAAAAGTGTTGAATCAGTTTAAACTCTGGGAATAAGTTGAAAATGCATCTTTATTTTATAAAAAAAAATAACACTTTAGATGAGCCTGGGTTTGGATTAATAAGCATGTTATGTGTAAATCTACTCAAATAATTTGGCTGAAAGCAGAGAAAGCAGACAGACCTTCCAGGCTTCCATACAATATATAACTATGGATTTACAGCCTTCCTTAAGCACACAAATTTATCACTATTTCATTGATGTTTTAATAGAATAGTATTACTATTTTGAACTAAAGCCACACAAATTAAACAAAATACAAAACAGAAAGATAACCTACAATAATTATTATAAAAATATCACAGACAAAATGCAAAATAAGCACATAATCTGTTTAAAACAAATATGAAGCCCCAGCTCTTCATTTTACTTATTATTTGATGAAAATGTGCTTATGTCATCAAATATTTTATGGTCTCTGGGCCACTTTCAAGATCTCTGTCTCTTAAATCAGCTCTTCCCGTGTCTGTTTGAGGTGCTACCCTGAGCTTCCAGCTGTATTGATCAGTGCTGACTGTGGGGCTGTTCTGTCTGTCCCTGGTTTTCTAGGATTCTGCAGCGGCAGGTTTCCAAAGAAGTGATCGATGGTGGATCAGTGCACGTCTGGTTAGACCTAACAAGTGAGATGCAAACTTCTTTTCTGTTCTTTTTGCGAATTTTATGTTCCGTTTTTAGTTTTCATGCTCTTCACATCTTGATACCCACTGACAGCACTAAAATTAAATGGTTGCACCGTGGAATGAAATTAAATGCATTCAGTTTAAAAACCCTGATCAAACTTTTGTTAACAGATCGACAAATCGGCCTGATGTTACAGAAGCAGCTGCACCAGGCTTTTCAGGTACCACATGATACAATAAATGATTAAAAACTGAAAGAATGTGACTGAAGAAGCATCTTGCCATGAAAACAAGCAAATGTTCCTGTCTTCTGATCAAATCATTCTCGTGATTTAATTTGATCAATATTAATATCAACACTTTGTTTTATGCATCATTCTTTCTCCTCTGCAGGCTTTTATCGATTACAAATTGGGCAGTGCGGCGTACTTGGCAGCTCTACCAATAAAAGTAGGAGACTTCAGGGATAATTTCAGAACTTGCACATTGATATAGAAATCTTAATCAACAGGACAGTTGTTGTTTTTTTCTGAATGTAACATAAAGATCTTTATCTTCCTTAAATAGTTCGAAGAGCCGATCTATGGAAGTCTAAACACGGATTTTACTACCTATGTGACCCCAGGAGCTGTCCTCAGGTCAGTATAAAGGCCACTGCTCTGTTTTTATATTGTTTATCTTCTCCTTTAGTTTGCAAATAGTTTGATGCAGAAGTTATTGACTTATGATGTAAGGTTAACCTTTTTAACAATATTGGCTGGAAAAACCGTGATTTAATATCCTATTGTCTGCCCTCTGTTCCTGCAGCATCTCCTTCTATCTGGCTGTGGGACTGACAGCGCTCTCTTTTGTCCTGGAGAGGAAGGAGGGACTCCTGGACAGGTGTTGGGTCGCAGGTGAGAAAGCAGAGTCTGCTTTGCTCTGAAAACTGCACAAAGTTCTCAAGCTGTGTCTAAGTTACAGCTAATAACTTATTTATATTTAAATGTCAAATCATTCTTGCTTAAACATCTATATAACTGTACTCTTTATTAGATGCTCTTGTCCCGAAATTTTAGAAATTTCTATTTTCAAAATAAGAATCCTGTCTTAAAATATGTGGGGTTTTTTTGTTTGTTTTTCTCGGTATCTTAAAAAAGTATTATTGTCTGTCATAAGTGTTGCTTGTTTACTTTAAGAAGCTATATTATCACCAGCCTGTCACTTTCAGATGTTTGTTCTTTACTTTTTTTAATCCAGCTTTATTTGATTTGTGCTGTTCACATAATGTGCGTGTACATGAATCATATAAAAAATAACAAAAAACTGAGCAGAACCGCTGTGGAGTAAAGTATACATATCTGTAAAAAAAAGTTTAAATAACATGTTTCTAAAGAAATGGCTTTAAATATAAAATAGAAATACTTCAAATTGTTAAAATAAAATAAGTACAAGTAAATAGAGTATAAATACAAACTACGCAAGTACAGTTGTGCTCGAAAGTTTAATCAAAATTGTTGAGTTTTGCAAAGCAGGTGAGAAAAGCTAAATCAAAGCTCGTATAAAACCTAAAATTAAACGCCTAAAGTTGCTCTTATAATTTAAAAAAATAATAATTTACTCCCTATATGGGCTTTAGATTACTTTAGAAAATTGCAAACATACAGACCCACATTTGTGTTTTATTTGTTCTGTTGACTACAAGTTGTAAAAATGTTTTATTGACGAATGAGCTTGCGATGCATCATTCAGGTGTAATTTGAGACATTGCCAGTAGAGGGAGGAATAGGATTACAGCTGGTAGGGAAGATGTTTTGGTTTAAGAAAGAAACAGATGACCTATTGTTTTGCTTTTCTTTTCTTATAGCTAATTGTTAAATCACTTTAGGGTTCACAGTAGAAATAACCCAACTCGTAGAATGATCAAATCTTATGTCAATTATTTCCAGCTAAAATGATTGGTAGAATGTAACAAAATACTTTAAGGTTGAGCTTTAAGTTATTGCTTGTATTTTTGTTTTGTAACTGTAAGTAGATTTGTCATTATTTTAAATATAGAACAAACCAACCCTTTTCCGTTCTCGTGTCCCTCAGGTGTGAGCTCCATGGAGACCATGTTGGCTCACCTCTTCTCCCAGCTGTTTGTCATCAGTGTCCAAATCGTCCTGATGCTCCTCTTCATCCTGCTTGTCTTCAAGGTCAGCATAACAACGAAATAAATAAAAACTCACACTCAGACATGCAGTCTTCAGAACACCATCAAATGCAATCCCGTATTTATTACCTTAATATATGGATAAAGCTGAGAGTTTGGTATTTTTATGGGTCTGTGGTGATAAAGTGGTAACTGTTTAGGAAACACACAGGTCAAATGAGAACGAACCTTAAACTCTTTGACAATTACAGATTCATTTGCGTCAATCTGTCAAACCAAATCTAAATTAAAGTCGTAGGGAAATCTTATTTAAATGTCAAATCATTCTGGCTTAAACATGTATATAAATGTACTCTTTATCGGACGATATTGTCCCAAAATTTAGATCATTTCTATATTTAAAAAAATATATCCTGTCCTAAAATCTGTTTGTTTTTTCGTTATCTTATGCAGGCCAGTTAGTTATATGTCAGCTTGTTCACCTAAATTCAGCCAACGGTCATCTGTCAATCAATTTTTTCGGTCACAGCATCTTGATTCATGTCGCAGCTAATATACGCAACGGTTGAAATAAGAAATCAGAATCATTTCCTTTCCCATTGAGTTCCGTCCCAGTGTTCACGGGATGGACGTCTGTGTCTTCAGCAGGCGTAGAGCTAACAGAACTGGCAGCGTTGCGAGGCAAGGGCTCAAACATGTACGGCTGTAAGCCTTCTACACCAAACCAAGCTTCTGCCGCCCTGGCGTCCTCTTCCACAACATCTTCGTCCCCGCTTTCCTCCTCTATATAAAAAAATGTATGACGGAGGAGACTCATCCACGACCTCCGACACTAAACTCTCCTCCTCTTGCTAGTTTCTGCTGTCCATAGCGTTCCTTGACAGTGTCGTTTCTAAGTCACCAATTTAGTGCCACTTTGTCGTAATGTAATTTCCCATTGGGAACCTACTAGCACTAAGTTGCTAACTGGTTAGCAAAATGCTTCCGACAAACCGGCCACAACCAAAGGTGCTTGCGAACCTGCAACAATCCCGCCCCCTTGATAAACGACCAATCACATTCACTTTATTCACATGTGTAAAGTCGTGCACCACTCGGGAGAATTTCGGAAATGCAACGGTTGGAACAGTCGCTTCCTTACGACTTTAAACACAGAGGCCTTTGTAAAGCACTGTAAAGTAAAAAAACAAACAAAAACAAACTCTGGTGTATGAGCTTCCAAAGTCACCCCCTAACAGAGTGTGGGTTTGACAAGCGGGAAGTGTTTCCAATATGTTGAAGGTTAATATTTCACCAGCCTGGCAGGCTTTTTCCGAAGTTCATTTGCATTTTTACTACATCGGCAAAAATCTGACTTCACATGTAGCAAGTAAGAGGCTTGTAATTATGTTAATAAAACTCCCCTGTAGCCAGCGAACAGCTTGTCAATATCAGCCGGTTGATTTAGATTTATTTGGCATTACAATGATGCCCTCTGGAGGGAATCAAGGTTTCTCCACTGAGTTCGACTGAGTTTGAAGGGAATCAAGGTCAGGCTGGGTGTGAAAACCACACACACCACAGCAAGTCAACTACTGAATGTCTGTAGGTACAGTTTGTGTTTAGAATCAATAAGGGAGGCAGACAGAGTCTGAAAGATTTACATCTTGGGACATTAAAGATACAGAGACAAAAAGTTTTTTTTTGAAATGTTGATCCTATTAACCTTAGTAGAAATGTGTGTGTTCTCCTTTGTCACTGTGTGTTTATCACATGTTCAGAGCCGCTTTAATTAAGCTGCTGAACTCTAAAGAGACCACTGCTTCACAAATCATTTCCTGCATCGCCTGTATCCATGGATCGCTGCAGGATCGCCGCCACAACAGCCAGCAATTGCTGTGGCAACCGTGTGGTCATGTGGCCTCTGGGTGCGGGTCTATTTTTGCACGTTGTCAGGGGAGACGGATAGTGTCTTAGAGCTCCGAGGAGCAACACAAACATTCCAGTCAACTTTGGAGAGTTTATCAGCTCCATTCCTGCAGAACTCTGGATGCTTTTCAAGTGTCCCATCTCATCTCAAGATGCATTTATTTACAACTAAACAGAAGGATATTACCATTTCTTTCAACTTTTCTTTCTATTTTTTATTTTCCTTGGTCATAGGATCCTGTAAGGACTTTAGGAAGTATTTTTTTGATTCCCATGTTCTTGTTTTCTCCTTAAACTCATGGCTAAGACACTTTATAGAAATACTTCCAAACATTTTGAGATCTAAAATCAATAACCCCCCAAATTTCTTTGAAAACTAATTAATTATGTATGAGTCTTTCATCTACATGAAACAGGGATTGCTTGGAGGTTTAAATTCCTGGAAAGTGACTCATGTTAATGTTGTGAATGCTCCTGGCATGGGTTTATATGTTTATATAGTTGCTAAATACTCTGAAAAAGTATTGAATTTCCTTATACTGCTTTTTTTCCAGTTCAAAAAGACTAGATTTGAAAAATAAAGATCTTCCTAATTGTTTTACTTGACACCATCAGGTCTACAGAAACAGAAAGATTTTCACTTGATTAATCCATTTGACATCCTTTGTTTAATTTAGCTCTCCCTAATTTGAACATTTTACACATCAATGTCATCAGTGTATTTCTATGCTGAATGAAAATAAATTCAGAAAAGGTTGTTAGATCATCCTGATCCTGTTTAGTATTTCCGGTTTTATGTTTCTTAAAGGAATAGTACACCCAAAACATGATTAGCCTTCATTTTCTACTCACCCCCATGCTGAACAAAACTCTGGAGTACTTTTTTGATATCTCAAATGCATCTGGAGATCAGGGAGGCTTCTTGCTGTCTGCTGACATTCAAATAATGGAGGTCTATGGTGCCCGAGGCAGAAAGGTCCATAAAAGTCCACAAAAACGTGTCAATATTCCTCCATACTGCTCGTCCAATGTAATCCAAGTGTCCTGAGTGGGTAGCATCCAGAAATTACTCGAAACGAAGTCATTTAGAATGTTTTAGAGCCTAAACAGTAGTGTATAGGATTTCCTAATAGCGCCCCCATGCGCGCTCACGATTCTACGGAAGCCGGCAGACCAAACCAGCGCATTCAGCTCGGCAAAGAACTCTTGCTCTTCCTCAACACTGAAGTCCTCAGACATTTTTCTTTCGTTGTTTCTTTCTTTGCACAGGTAAACAGCACATTTCTTCTTCTACGCTTGCATTATCGGCAGACCAGACGCTGAATGCGCACTTTCTTCCGGTTTGGTCTGCCGGCTTCCGTAGAATCGTGAGCGCGCATGGGGGCGCTTTCAGGAAATCCTATACACTACTGTTTATGCTCTAAAAACATTCTAAATGACTTCGTTTCGAGTAAATTCTGGATGCTACCCACTCAGGACACTTGGATTACATTGGACGAGCAGTATGGAGGAATATTGACACGTTTTTGTGGACTTTTATGGACCTTTCTGTCTCGGGCGCCATAGACCTCCATTATTTGAATGTCAGCAGACAGCAAGAAGCCTCCCAGATCTCCAGATGCATTTGAGATATCAAAAAAGTACTCCAGAGTGTTGTTCAGCATGGAGGTGAGTAGAAAATGAAGGCTAATCATGTTTTGGGTGTACTATTCCTTTAAAGGTTTATTTGAGAATTTATTTTATTTATTAATTTTTTTAGTTTTTACGGCACTAGTGGCTCGTTTTTCCGAAAGTAGGCTGACAGGAAAGGGGGTATGGGAGAGGGAGAGACATGCGGCAAAGGATCACAGGTCGAATTTGAGCCGCGTCGAGGATTAAGGCCTTAGTACATGGGCTGTGCACGCTAACCACTGCGCCACCTGCACGCCTAGGTGTTTACCAAGCAGATCATTATGAAATTATTTTAAAAATGTGTTTCTTAAAGGCTATTTTTGCACAGGTTGCAAGATGCTGCAGCTTGGTTTACATTCATTTTAATGCCAGAGGGCATTAGGGCAGCCGTTTATTGATAAATAAAACACCACTTTACCACAAAAAATGGTCCAGTAATGTGAAAGTGATGCATTTTGTGTTTATGGGGTCATTTTTTTAGCAGATGCCATCTGGCGGCTGTAAACACAGGAGCAGCTGCTGCTGCGGCAGCGGAAAGAGTGGCTGTTTGTGGCTGACTGCTGCTGTCATGCTGTTTGAACCCCATGTGTTATTATAACAGATAGAGAAAGTGATGCTCAACCAATTGCAAAAAAGTCTGCATGATCTTTGAGACTGTCATCATTCCTCACTGTACTCCATTCTTTCCTCTCTGCACAGATCCCGAACGAAGGCTCCTTGTTTCTAGTTGTATGTCTGATCGTGCTCCAGGGCGTCACGGGCATCTCCTTCGGCCTCGTCATCTCGGCAGGGATTGATGACGAGCAGAGCGCCAATCAAGCCGCCCTGGGCATTTTCTACCCGAACCTTATCCTGAGCGGTGAGCAGTCTGTCATAAGAACCGCTTCTCGTGTGAGAGCAAACTAGAAAAGCACAGCGGAGGACCGATTGCTTATTTAATCAGGAAACACTGATGAAAGATTGTTTTGAGTTGATGTCAGTCAGCGTATGTTGATGGTATTTGTACAGAAATGGGAACTTTACATGTTTGGAGTGATCAACAGTGTCATGTTTTTTAGTTTGATGGTGAAGGTACTCATTGCAGGGGATGCTAATCCAAACCACAAATGATCACAAACAAAAGAGCAATTCTCCATGGAGAAATAAAGGCAGAAGCACAATCATTCAACATAGAGGCATAATTCTATAGACTCAAAAGATGTGTCGCTATGTTGCTCATGTCTTTGATGGTGTTAGAAGGGCAGAAACAAATCAAAACAAATTTCAAATAAAAAATGAAAAAGAGATGACTTTCAGTCTTTTTCATACGGTAACTTCTAAACTATTCAATTTTCCTCCTAAAAGGCAGATTTGATTATCTTCTAAAACTAAACTAAACTGATCTAAACGTCTGCATGCAATCCAGTCTGTGTTGTGGAGACAAGTAGCTTTTTCAGTTTTAAAAGTTAACATAAGGTAGATAACAGACACGGCACCAAGAAAAAAAAGCTTCTTTTTTTATCTGAAAGTCAGGACTTAGGTTAAAGTCAGCAAAGATCTGACTGCAGCTGAAAGATGCATTTCACTTTCAACTAAAAGTAAAGCTATATCAGAATAATCTTTTAGGTTTAAAAGAAAAAATATACAGTTAGCATATAAAACATTCATATTTAATTGGAGTACCGAACTAATACTTAGGAGGGAAGCAAAAAGAAAAAAAAAATAGTAAAAAAAAAACTTTTGGCAACTGCTCAAGATTCCTAGAAAAGAAAATTGTACCTTCTTAGAACAAACCAACATAAAGAAATGACTGGTATTGTTCAGTCAGCACTGTAAATGTTTAATGTGTTCTTTTGGTATCAGAGTCCAGACACAACCTGCATTTCTTATTTAACTGATATCTTACACTGCGTTCTTTTTGTCCCGTCATGCATGCAGGTATCATTTGGCCTGTGGAGTGCATCCCTTATCCTCTTCGCTACCTTAGTCTGGTTCTTCCTCAGACCTACGCCTCAGAATCACTTCGCTGCATCATGTACAGAGGTAATGTTTACACATAATTAAACACAGCAGCTTTAAACAGCATGTCTGAGACTCAGCTGCAGCCTGACGGCCTAATTTCTGATAAAATACACATAATTAAGGTAATTCTCATTAATTAATCAGCCCTCAGTTCTTTGTAGTTAACTTTCCTGGAATAAAAGGTTGAGAAGTTGTACTTTGTATTCTTTTTCTGTCCTTTAACAACACTGCCTCTAATCAGAAAGATGCACCTTTAGACTTCTATGTTACATGATATACATGAAAGTAGAGAGGCCTTTTCCTGTTTAAATACCTCATCCCTGAGGGACAGAGGAAGATGAGACCAAGGCAGAGGTGCACACTGACACAATTTAATTTAGGGGACTAAGACTTTGCACTATCACTCCCTGGAATTTCGTAATTAAATTATTCCCTGAATATATTCTGTCATACCTGAGTTCATTATGATCTCACCGCTGTTATCCATACAAATATATGTAACAAAAAAAATATTGCTAAGCTTATAAATCCATCATATTGTTATCCAGTCCCTCTCAGCACATTTGTCCTGTGATATATTTTCAATATGCTTCAAAACAAACAACAGCATTGCATTTTCATCTTTAAACTCCGGTTTTTATACACTTTTTTCTTGTGATTGTGCTGTTTTTGCCTTTAACCTGTTCTGAAGCAAACTAAACTTGCTTAAGTGTGCTTTTCCTTAAACAGTGGAGTCTTGCCCAGAGACTGTATATAGAGGGAATAGAGTGCATTACTTATTGTTTACTTTAAAATTGCAGTCTATTTATCGGAATCTGTTTTTGAGTCATTTTTTAGACTTTTTTTTTACTTTTTTTCATCCCACCCAAATCTGTCTTTTCATGACAAAGTCTGCAGGCGGTTGCTAAGTGTTGCTGCTGGTGTAATTTGTTTACCTTTTGCATAAGAGATAAGGAAATGATAGTAAAGGAGCCATGGCACACTGCAAAATTCGCTAACGCTACATCCACATGAACCCACAGTCAACAGATAGAGAAAGTTATGAAAAGAAGTACAAATGAGCTCAATGTTTTGTTTTTTTTCCTAAAAATAATATTAAAAATAGACATAAAAATATATTTCAGAAGGATTGTATGATTAAAATGCTAGGTTATAACAGTTTTTTTTTTCAGGGGGTTGGCCACCCTAGTCAAAACTCTTACAGTAATTGCCGGCTTATTGCTAGGTTGCAGGCTCATACCGGTCCCAACACTTACTCTCCGGCCAAAGCTCAAGAAGTAATCCAATGTTAACTACCTAAATGATGCATGCAGTATATATAACCCTTCCTTGTCATGCACATCCTTGTGACTGTTGGCATATGGTGTAATTTTCTATTTCTTCAAACTGTAAAATCCTTGCAAAAAGCTAAATTATAATAAAACTAAAATGTTTTTTTAAACCAAACTACGATGTGCCTATTATATTTGGCGAATTTATGTTGGAATATTTTGCGAAAATATGTTGTGCTAGGGCTAACGTTTCCCATCTTACGTGCATTGTTGCCAGGTTGGGATGTTTCCCAATGTGGCAGTGTAGGATGGCCATCTGAGGGTAAAAAAGTTGCGTATGTGTTTATAACCAAAGCCAGAAAAACCGCATTATAGAAGTGGGCCATAAAAATCCCAGGGCCGAAAATCGTTCCCAGTCCGTGCCTGCTAGTTTCTGTATAAATAATGCACTTCATCTGCCTAGATTACAACCCAAACAGGACCCAAGCAGAAATATTCAGAAGTTAAGACCCAAGTTTGTAACCAGACCTTTATGCTTGATACAGTAGGAATATAGGATTGTGAAGGTATAGTGTAGTGCTGTAGTAATTAAAAAAAAAACATTGTTCATAAATCAGTCATTTATTAGTATAGCCTTTCCCTGTCCACAATCTTGGTGAGCAGAGGACTTATCAAAGTTACTACATTTAGATTAAAAGTAAGGTAGATAGAAGAGGGTTGATAACGGTATAAATGTAAACACATGTTGAGTATTAAAAAGCCTGCCTGAATAAAAGTCTCAGGCTTTGATTTAAAAAGGTCAAGTTCAGTTAAAGATTGTAGATCTAATGGATGCTGTATAGTTTAGGTGCAGCTGCAGAAAAAGGGCTTTGTTATCTAATCATATATGTTTTGTTTTTCTTCAGACCTCATTGATATGGAGTAAGACTGCTTTCTAAAATTCATGAGCCAAAAGTTAGTTTCTTAATTATAACAGTTACTTAAAATATTCAGGTTGGCCTTGCTGCTCAGTTTGTGTGTATTTAGCAGCGATGCCCAAGCCAGGTCCAGTCCTTGAGATTTACTAACCTGAAACTTTTAGATGCATCCCTCCTGCAAAATTAATGAAATGACTGAATTCACCTCATTCAGCGCTTCATCTGCCCGACAACAAGCTATGAGCTCACACCAAGAAAAACAACCCCACAGCATAATGCTTTCACCACAAGCCTTAAGGGCTTGAAACAATAGCTTCCCTTCTCTGTTGGAGTCATAAACCAAGAGAAAGGAAGCATGGCTGAGACTTTGAGTCAAAAATTTCAATTATACTCTTTTTGCATCTGTTTGCAGAAGCGATCTGCAGGCCTTAAAGGAATAGTACACCCAAAACATGATTAGCCTTCATTTTCTACTCACCCCCATGCTGAACAACACTCTGGAGTACTTTTTTGATATCTCAAATGCATCTGGAGATCTGGGAGGCTTCTTGCTGTCTGCTGACATTCAAATAATGGAGGTCTATTGTGCCCGAGACAGAAAGGTCCATAAAAGTCCACAAAAACGTGTCAATATTCCTCCATACTGCTCGTCCAATGTATTCCAAGCGTCCTGAGTTGGTAGCATCCACAATTTACTCGAAACGAAGTCATTTAGAATGTTTTTAGAGCATAAACAGTAGTGTATAGGATTTCCTGAAAGCGCGCGCCGGCGCGTTCATGACGCTACGGAAGCCGGCAGACCAAACCAGATGAAAGTGCGCATTCAGCGTCTGCTCTTCCAATAATGCAAGCGTAGAAGAAGAAATGTGCTGTTTACCTGTGCAAAGAAAGAAACAACGAAAGAAAAATGTCTGAGGACTTCAGTGTTGAGGAAGAGCATGAGTTCTTTGCCGAGCTGAATGCGCTGGTTTGGTCTGCCGGCTTCCGTAGCGTCATGATCGCGCATGTGCGCGCTTTCAGGAAATCCTATACACTACTGTTTATGCTCTAAAAACATTCTAAATGACTTCGTTTTGAGTAATTTCTGGACGCTACCCACTCAGGAAACTTGGAATACATTGGACGAGCAGTATGGAGGAATATTGACACGTTTTTGTGGACTTTTATGGACCTTTCTGTCTCGGGCACAATAGACCTCCCTTATTTGAATGTCAGCAGACAGCAAGAAGCCTCCCAGATCTCCAGATGCATTTGAGATATCAAAAAAGTACTCCAGAGTGTTGTTCAGCATGGGGGTGAGTAGAAAATGAAGGCTAATCATGTTTTGGGTGTACTATTCCTTTAATATTACAAATTTGTAGTCATGGAAATCATTGGAACCATTTTTTCAAATGTGTTGCTAACTCAGTTATCGTCTCTCCAGGCTGGGGGCTGTCTGAGATGATGGTTTGGAGAGGTTTTGCTGTCACCCTTGGCTGGAACACCTTCTTCTTGATCCTGGCCACCGTCATCCTAAAGCTGAGGACGTGACAGCCTCCTTCTCCTTGGAGGATGTCATCCTGAGCAGGACGCAGAGATTTCAGATTCAGGAGCCGATGACAATCCTTGGACCTCCTGTTTGTGGAGGAGGCACAGCAGCAGAAATCAAGAGAAAAAAAACACAAAACAGGGAGGAGGGGAAAGATTTACTGTGGTTTAAAGGACTGATAGGTTGATGTATCAGTCTCCCTCCTCCTGATCATCTCTATGATACACACTAACACACACACACACTCTCTGTTCCTGCAGGGGTTGGTTTGGCCTGTTCCAAGTCTAAATTCAAGAAACTTCAAGTAGAAACTAAGCAGTAGCAGTTTCTGGTTCTACCTGCAGCTTCTTGAACACATGTGAACAGCCATAAACCAACTCAGGGCCACTTTCTGTTTGCCTTTTAGACTTTAATACTGAGAGTTTTTTGTTTGTTTTAAACTTTATTTTAGAATAAATGAAGGTTGTGCCGTTCATTTTTGATATAAAAAGAAAATATAAATTTCTTGACTGTAACTGATGGGTATTTTTTAAGGCTCTGCCATCTATATGACATTAAAACTTAGATGGGCCTTGATGAAAATGAAGGATTTTTTTTTTTATAGAGGAGGAGTCTGAGCACAAGAAAAGGAGAAAAAAAGGCCTCATTTCTAAGCAGGAAATTGAGGAAATTATTGCACAATGTAACGTGAATGCAGATGAAAGTGAAAAAGTGATTATTTCTTTATATATTACTTAACCTATCTTTTTTTTTTTTGCTTCTTGCTTGTTATATTTCTGTGGAGCCTATTGCCCTGTCTGGATTTGAAAGGAAGCGGTAACTGTTTGATCTCGCTGCGTTACCAGGTGCTCACATGTCCTTCTTCAGCTCCGGTTGATTGTGTCTCTTATAAATCTGTGCCTGTATCTCCTAAAGCAGGGGAATTTTGGTGATGGGAAAAAAAACTCTTTTTTCTGTCCTTTTCTGATGCTTTTGATGAACTCTCTACTTTGCCGGACAGAGTTGAAGCTGTTCTCAAACTGTCAGCATCCATGCCGTCATGTTATTATTATTTTTTTTACAAAAAAAAGATCCAAAAAAAGAAATATATTTTATGACATTTTGCTTTAAGAATCATAGAGAATCTAAACACACAGGAGTAAGGCTTTTAGGGGTTTAACACAAAGATGGTGTCAAGGCTGGGAGAAAATCAGAGAAAATAAGAAGCTGGGATGAAGTTTGTAGGTCAGAAACCTGTTTTCCTATCATGCAACTGTAGTCAAAAAGTCACGTTTCGAATAACGAATAAAGATACTTTGAGATGGTGAGTTAAAATTTATCATGATAAAAAAAAAATACAATCAGATCATTTGAAAATGCTTGACACCAGTGAGCGAAACTCTCCTCTAACCATTAAGGTGGTTTTGATCCAGCTTCCATGTGCAATGTAGTTCACCACTCAGAGCAACATGACTGAAGGGGCGTCAAAACAACTTCACATCCAGAAGGGGATTTCTGTCACATATTTGCATTATCTAAACAGCTAAAAATTGTAGCTGTTGTAGACTGCTAATGTCTTAATCTGTATTTCTCCAGGCTCTCCGAAAGCATTTAACGATTGTTTTTTGAGCTTTGGCTACTAATCAGTCCTTAAATTAATTTTACAGCAATCAAATGTGCTTATATTTATAGAACAGAGAGAAATCTATTTTTTTTAAAAGGACAAGGGGAATGCATACATTTTAATTAGCAGCTGTTTGAGAATCACTCTGTTGATGTCATGCGGGGAAAAAAAATGATAAAAAAAATGTATGTTTTACGAGTGCATCTGAAATACTTAATTAAACTGGCCAAATACCTGTTTTAAAATTTGAACATTGTCAAATTTTCCATAATACAGAGAGAAATAAAAAAACTAATGATTCACACGTCAGTTACGGTAAATAGTTTTTTTCCCCCCTTATAGTCAGTTTCATAAAATTAAAAAAATACTTTCATTAATAAAAAAGGAAATTAAAATATCCATTCCTGACTATTCCTCTGGTAATTCACAGGAATAGAACTGAAAATATACAAACATGTAACCTAAGACAATAAAAAAAGATCAAAATACCTTCTGAAAGCCTAGAGAAATGCTTCTAAAATCACTTTAAAAGATTTTAGGAATGAGTGGCTCACTGTGATAATGTAAAGAAACACCTCTTAACATATGAAAACAATTTTACATCCTAGTTTTATTTAAAGTTTACTCCAGTAGTTTTAAAGACCTCAGCTCATTCAAATCAACCATCGAACCATCTTCACATGTGCCATTCATAGATTTCAAAATGTTTACATTTATGTGCATGGTGGTAAATCTGTGCGTGTTTTTCTTTGTTTTCTGTCATAATCTCCTAATATCAGTGAGTTTGGGTTTTTTTCTGCACATTCAAATTATAATGTTGAGTTATTCTATGATATGGAAAGGTTGAAAAAGGTGATTGTCAAACAGAATGGTTGATTTGCTGATTAATGATTTTATAATATACTATATACACTATAGCATATTTGTTCCTCACTCAAAGCCTATAATAATGACAAACCTTTATCAAATATATTTAAAGGGGGGGTGATCTGTCTCTGGGTTTCTCTGGTTGTTTTTTTTTTTAAACATTATTTTTAAGTTAAAAGCATTTTCATTTGGACCTTTTTTTTCTTTATTACCCCAAAAAACCTATTAAAATGTTGTAAGACGGTGGTAATGTTTGTTAAAATGTGATTATTATTTTTTTTATGCAGGAGCTTCTTGATGTAATTGGTTTTAAAAATTGACACATTTTTCAAATTATGATTTCTGCAAAATATTTGCTAAACTCATCTTGGAGATTTGAATGCGGTCATACAGGAACTGTAAAAGAAAAGCCGCAAGGGGAGTTTGTTGTCATTGTAATTTGCCAGTTTTATTTAAAATGTGACCTATTTTCCAGTTAAATGTTGCAGATTATGTGAGCAGTTATCCACTGTGCTCGCTAAAACTCCAGTCGACTACCTCCACCGTCTCTCCCTGAAGGGCACGTGAAGAATTTAGACTCCTGTGTTGTGACTTGTATGCACTGTGATAGCAGACATGCTTGGATGAAGTTCTGTTCATTTATTCTGAAACAATAAATGTCATGGCAAAATCCCTCCTCTTTGTGTTTGCTGCTAATTTTGCGGTCGCTGAAAGACGGTATGCGGTTACATCACGCTTTGCTTGCATGACTGTGTGGCTCGTTACCATGGCCTCAATCTATCCCTACCTGACTGGTTACGACTGACTGTTTGAAACCTGTGTGTTTTATAAGCGTTTGTGAATTACAATGCACATGTTGTTAAGGCAATCTCTCTATGGGGTCATGTCTTCTATGGCAGCTCTACAGGGTTTGCAGGGTTTTTTGTGACCTGATTATTAAAGATAAATATTGTAGCTAAATAAAACTTTAGATTAAAGGCAGAACAAAAACACAAAACAAAAAGAAAAATGCTTTGAAATACAATCCAAGAAGAGGGGGAAAAAGAAAGACGAAGGAATTGCAATGTAAAAGCTACTAGCCGACATTTGTGCGAACCAGTTAGCTGTCACGTCCCTTCTGTATGCGGCGCTTACAAATTTTTAACACACAATAAGGCTACTTACCACCAGTACAATGGTTATGTATGGCAGGCTGGATCCTTCCAAGGATTAAAGAACAGCCACTGGATAAATGAATGCTTTTTTGACATTCTTTGGTTATTTAGTGTCATCATCTTTTCAAACTAAACTTTGCTTTGAACTGTTTTGTGCTTGGAAAAATATAAATTGTAATGATAAAAATCAAAAAAAAAAATTGACAGGTTAAAAATTTACACTACTACTACTCACCAATTTAACATGTTTAGCTCTATAATATTTTTTATGCACCACTCCAATGCGTAAGAGAAAAAAATTTAATGAAATTTTTTTTTATGTATGACCACTGTACAGAAGACTGCCATATGATAGAAATATTTACACTGTGCGCATACAGTTATTATTATTATTTTCCAAATCCCCGACTGATCATTTTTAATCTAGCGTGTATTATAGTATAGATTAAATTCCTCATCCAGCTGCTGCTCTGCAGAATTCTCTCCCCAAGAGCTGAATCACGTCATCTAGCAGAAAATCACGCGGCTTTTTAAAATCACGCGAGAATGTGTAAAAAAACAACAAAAATGGCGCCGGCAACGCTTGTGGGTCGTTTTCAGCAAATTTCGGTGATTTTAAAGTAATTTTGAGCGATAAATATTTTTTTTTTTAATTTGTACTCTCCTGACAATAAAAACTACTTGCCCCGGGCGATCTGGCAATGGTTAATATCGAGCCCTGCTGTGGAAGTTTATCATCTGTTGCCATAATAAAAATTTAAAAATTTCAGTCTAGACAACTGGACGCGAGGTTTTCTAGAATTACCTTTTTCAAGCTTGACCTGAATGAGAGTTGGGAGCTGGCTCGGAGCTCGTCTGCCTGGCTGCGTGTTTCCTGGAATGGGCCGCCTTTTACAGCTGCTTTTTGTATCTCTGCTTCTGTTTCCTTGAAACCTAGTTGGCCTCGGCAGATGGCCGCTCACACTAAACCTGGTTCTGCTGGAGGTTTCTTTCTGTTAAAAGGGAGGTTTTCCTCTCCACTGTCGCTACAAGCATGCTTAGTGTGAGGGATTGCATTCGAGTCAATGAGTCGATGCAATCAATTGGTTTTCCTTAGATAGAAAACGTTGAATCAATTTGATTGTATGATCTGGTGAACTATAAAGCCTTGAGATGACATGTGTTGTGAATTGGCGGTATATAAATAAACTGAAAAAAATGAAATGATGACTGAGAATCTTTAAATATATGTCGCCATGATAAATACTATCAGAATACTGACAGTAAGGAAAGAGTTAGAACAAGGAAACAGGATGCTTCCTTATACAAATTCATGACATTTCTGGCCACTACTTGGAGCTTTATGGTTGCTCACAATCCTTATGTGATAACTTCCTTTCTTACTTCAAATTAAGAGTCACCAAGATATATACAGTACGGTTTGACCTTGATATCCAGGAACCTTTCTAATAGCTTAGACCTGCTTAACCAGTTAAAGTCTCAAAGCAATTATTTAGCACATCTCAAGCAAAACTCAGGTACATAAGAGATATAGTGGTGATTTAACAAGCCCCCCCAAACCCTGCTATCTGCCAAAGATACTGATCACATCTACACCAAACAAACAGTGCTTTAAACAGTGATAATCCAAATGGATTGTCTTCCTGCTCAGAGTCTCAAATGACCTTCGAGATGAGCATGAAATGGGAGTCTGGTTGTCTGTCCACAGCAATTTACAGTGGTTACTTTGCTTGGTGACAACACAATTTCTAATTACAGCAAATTACAAGGTAATTACATGCAATGACACCCTGAGGACTATAAAAACCTTAGTGTTCATATTACACACCGCCCAGTCCCAGCTTACTCATGATGCAACATGGACAGAATGTACAACGGTTTTCCAAATGTAAGATTCATACATCCAACAGTGATGGAAGCTATCCGCATGTTTGCCTAACTTTAATTTATGGGGAGTTTTGGAGTTAAATGCATTTCACAACCGTCCACATCTGGTTTCCATCAATCCCAATCATTCTAAGAAAAGTCCTATGATTATATTTATAAACTGCAAGGTTCCTTTTTTACTTTGTGGAAATATAAGGAGTGGATTTATGTTATATTGTGCCAATCAGCAATAGATTATTGAAATCAAAATATTGCTGCAATTACACGCTGGGTGGAATGAATGATTATTTTAGTCATGATCAGTGACGGCTGGTGGGGGTGGGGGGTGGGGGGGCTATAAATTCAAAATTAATGTATACCAAAAACCAATCAAACCTATACTAAGTTATCACACCGGTATATTTATATGAATACCAGCAACAAAAAACATTATAAAAACACTCTTTAAAAAAATAAAACATAATTTCATGCACAGGTTTACTTTTTGTACATAAATCTTGTCCTTTTGAGGCTTTGTAATGGCAAATATGTGTTTTGCATGATCCAACATGGTATCACAAACCTTAAAAAAATTATGTAATGGAAAAGCTGTTAACCTTTTATAGGGCACTCAGTGAAATACTTTGAAAATCCAAATTTCAAGCCAATAGTGTTATTGGAATCCAGGTCAAGACCTTATTACCTTTGTAGCATTAAAAAATATGGATATTTTGATGGCAAAAATGAATATCAATGTAATAACAAGAAACGCCAACTTGCCTGAAAATATTAAGAAAAATAACAAAAGTGCTTCTATAAGAAATTCATGAGAAACACTCTGAGAGTGCAACATTTGGTACAACAAAACCTTAGAGGCATTAATGCTGATACTGGCACTTACAATATTTAGTTTATAAAACTAAATATAATTGTTAACTAGACATATTAACTTTTTAACTTTACTTTTTAACTTTCCAATTAGCTTTTTACCTTTTTTTTTCTTGACTTGTCATTTTTTTTTTTACAACTTAATTTACAGTAGGTAATATATCAGTCAAGGGCTCATTTATTCGGTGAAATGACAAAATAAGGTTTACAGCCATGTAGCAGCGTCTTTGCTGAATGGCTGGATATAGATCTTGTGCTTCTAGACCTCACTGAGGAACAGGGGGGGACTCCATTTGTAAGAGGCCTGCAAGTG